CTCGCTCCCCTAGGGCATTTACATGGGAGTTTGCCTGCTAGGCCAAAGGCACCCAGGAGAGCAAAGACTTGCGTTAAAGAGGTGTTTCTCCTTTACAGGGAACAGTTCTGCTCAAGTTCCCCAGGACCGCCCTCCCAGAATGTTCTGCGGCTGAGAACAGATACACATTCTTGACTGGCTCATTAAAGGACAGATCCTTAAAATGAACACACGTGCCTCAAACGTCAACTTTTACTTGAGCGCAGGTTTTCAGAGACTTGACAATGCATCTAAGTGAGCCCCGAAGATCTCCTGGGTTGCGGGGTTCTATACCCCTCCGTTTTCATCTACTTGCACTAAGGATTTCTTTAATGAAGAAGGAAAACAAGAGTCACCCTAAAAACCTGCAAACCTTGAGTCATCTAGTAACACCAGCAAAGGTCTCAGAGTTCTATACAATGAAAGACTAAAACCAATCCACCTAGGAAATGGTGCATTTATGATACTTTGATCTCAGAAAGGATGCCTCAACCCTGTTTCTTTCAATCAGGATCAGACAGCTTGGATCCTGCCCAAGCTCCCCCCGTTTTATTTTGTGGCAAGTGAACCGGCTGATGTCGTACACACATCTCTACCACAAGTTTCCCAAAGAAGCCTCCTCTTCAAAAACCTCTGGTAGCTCCCCATCACAGCATTCAAGACTCTCATCAATTCTGCCCAATCGACCTTATCGCCAAGTATGCAGGAGACAGGTGTCAAGAGATACAAAAATCAAAACACAAAAAGATGCACCCCACGTTTCTCACTATGAGTTTTTGACTTTGATTTTTGATATTTAAGTCTTTAATCTATTTGAAGTTGATTTTTGTAGGTAAGGTAGGCATCCAACACCTCTTTTCCTGACCTTTTCCCCAGCTTCACTGACTCAATAGTCCGTCCTCCTGCCACAGGCTGACCTGCTACCTCCCCACCCGGCAAGGCCCTACACGCACGTGCATCTGTCTCTGGCCCTGATTTCACACCACTGGTTGGTCTCTTGATTCTCCCACCACATCCTTACTATCTACCAACTTTACCGGCTTAACGATCCCTGATTTCTTGCAGGGCAAGTCCCGCTCTTTGTTTTTCTTCTCCAGAAGGGTCTTGGCTGTTCTTCTTCTTGCATTAATTGCACCAATTTCCAGGAAGATCCGTGTAGGCATTCAGCTTGGAATGACACTGAATCTGCGGGACACTTTAAGGAGAATCGACTGTTTCCACAATAGTAATTCTTCCTCTGGGTCAGGGTGGCAAACTATGGCCTGCATCTATTTTGGTAAAGTTTTCTGAGGACACAGCCCAGCCAAATATTTATGTATGTCCCTTCTATGGCGGCTCTTGTGTTACATGGGAGAGTTGAGAGGTCAGTGAATGAGAACCCTCTGGCCAAAAAATTTCTTCTTGGGCCCGTCCTGGGAAAAGTTTGCTGACCTCTGCTCTATACGAATGTAGCACATAATTCCCCATGAATTTAGGTTTTTTTTTTTTACTCTCCTCATAAGGTTATTTAAAGTTTTCCCGGTAACATAATACAAATTTTTGTTGAATTTATTCCTTGATACTTGATATTCTTTGATACTGTGGTAAAAAACATCTTCAAAATTAAATTTTCCGGTTGTTTCTGGTTGGTGTATAATAGCAGTGCAATGGACTTTTGTAAATGATTCTTCTATTTGCACATCGTGTTAAACTCTTATTCTTTGTAGGAACTTGAGGATTTTTAATGTACGCAATATGGTATCTGCCAGGGATGACAGCTTTATCTCCTCCCTTCCCGTCTCTCTGCTTCTAGTTTTTTCTTGCCTTACATCGGTTAGAAGTTCTAATACAATGTTGAGCAGAAGAGCGTTGAATGCCCGTGTGTGATTTTAAAGAACAATTCCAATGTTCGTCTATGTAGGACCGCATTTGCTTTTGGTTATTCTCTACCAAGTTAAAGATATCATCTCTTCTTAACTTACCAAGAGTTTTAAACATGAATGAATATGGACGTTAATCAATATTTTTCCTGCATTTGTTGAACTGATCAAAGCGTCTTCCTCCTTAATCTGTTGAGGGGACTCATTGTACTAATGATTTTTCTAGTGATAAAGAATCCTTGCACAATTCAACATAGTCACAATGTAGTATCTTTTACATACATTGTTGGATTATATTTACTTATATTTTATTTAGGATTTTTGCATCTATACTTATGGATGGAACTGGCCTGTGATTTTTCCTTTTGGTAATATCTTTGTCTAGTTTTGGTATTAGGGAAGTTGGTTACAGAGAACGAGTTGTCAGGTGTTCTCTCTTTTTCTGGTGTCTGGAAGAGTTTATGTAAAATTGAGGTAATCTTTGAAAGTTTGGTGGAACTTGCCTACAGAACATCTAGGCCTACGTTTTCATCGTGGATAGATTTTTAATCACCGCTTTCATGTCTTTAAGAGGTATAGGATTTTCAATTGTTTCTCTCCCTTCATCCATTCTAGTATGTTCCATTTTCCAAGATACTTGTCCAAATTATGGGCCTGTGTCTTTGATATTATTCACTTATCTTTTACATTTCAGTTATCGTAATTCTATCCCTCTTTAGTTTTATAATTTTCTGTATGTGCATCTTCTCTTCATTGATCTTGCCAGAGCTTTGTCTATTTTTGTTTATTTTAGTTTTTTTTCAAATAACTAACTTTTTGCTTTACTGAGCCTCTCTCCACACACTGGAAATTAGATAGCCATCAAAGCAGTTCACAGACGAATTTAGCAGTATTATATAAGGTAAAAAAAAAAAAAGAGTCCCAAAAGATTTTATAATTACTGATATCCAAGGATCTGGAATTTCAGATCATGACAAATCAAAAACAAGCAAACACCAAAAAGCCCAAAGACGCAGTGTTCTGTTTAAATCTGTACTTGTAGGGGCGCCTGGATGGCTCAGATGGTTAAGCGTCTGCCTCCAGCTCAGGTCACGATCCCAGGGTCCTGGGATCGAGCCCCACATCGGGCTCCCTGCTGAGTGGGGAGCCTGCTTCTCCCTCTCCCTCTGCCTCGCCCCCGCTCATGCTCTCTCTCTCTGTATCTCTGTGTCTCAAATGAACAAATAAAATCTTCAAAAAATCAATCAACCAATCAATCAATCTGTAGTTGTAAAACTCTCATGCAGCTTTGAAAGCCTTGGACCCATAGGGGTCAAAAGATTGTGATGCTTCTCCATGATATTAGAGTTCATCAATGTCAACCAAGAGTTTGAAATGATTGTTGATGATGAATTCAAAGACTCAAGAGAATAAAAGCAATGGTTATTATCAAGGTGACAAATGTAAGGGTTGGTGATTTCAGTTTTTGCTGCGATTTTCCATTGTCAGAGATGGCCACTCTGTGGCACTGCTGTCCTGGGGGCTCATATCTATGGACCCTTCACTGTCGAGAGCTACCCTGGACATTGACTGCTGCAGGTTCCTGCACCTGCTGGCCCTTCGACCCACTGTGGATGAAATCCCACTGCCTGCCCTCAAGACCACTTTGCTACTTCCTCCATGAAACGTTTGCTGATTTCACTAGAAAGTGATTTCTCTTGAGGACCTGGTGTATCTGGCTCATCTCCTTTGCCAATCCATAAGCTCTGAGAGGGCACGACAGTGTCTAATTATCCTGGTAGTCTCTACAGGACCAAACATAAGGCCTACAATTCAACTCTCCACTGAACAGAGATACTTACCGATGTTCTACTGTATGCCAAGGTTTCTCTCTATCAGGTGGGACATAATACAGATATGTGATACGTTTTGTTGCTTAAACTTTCTCTAAAAATTACTGGGATCAGTCTGATCCCTAAAATTCATTCATTAAGTTTCTGAGTTCCATCCAGGATTAGTAGTGCTAGTCAATTAAACGACTCAGTTTCGCTGTAGTACCACACACTAGTGACCAAACAATAACTCCAGGCCAAAAAGGGAAGTTTATATGATGGACAAGATTTTCTATTAGTTTAAGAAAGTTTATAATCTATTTCAGATTTCCATCCACCAAAACGCTTGAAAGAATAATGTTTTGGCATTTGTAATATTTCAACTATGTGGAAAATTCTATTTGTACATTACGTATGGATTTGGATACTCTCCTATACCCAAATATGAATTCTAAACTTCAGAGAATAAACCAACTGATAAATAGGCAGGTTCCAGAAAATTTTGGTTGTAGGTAGGTGGCAGAACAGTAGAAATATACCCTAGTTTTTTTTTAAGATTTTTTAAAAAATTTTATTTCATTTTGAGTGAGGCAGAAGGAAAGAGAGAAGCAGACTCCCGACTGAGCAGGGACCCTATTGTGGGACTCAATCCCAGGACCCCAAGATCATGACCTGAGTTGAAGGCAGATGCTTAACCAGCTGAGCCACCCAGGCGCGCCCCAAATACCCTAGTTTTTAATCAGTGATTTTACCTTATTTTGTATAGTAACCTGTATGGTGAAAGGCAGGAAATAATGCCAGTATGTGGAGTGTGATCTTTTTTGAAGGAAAGAAAGAATGTGAAAATTTAGAAGCATTAAAATGAACAATGCATTTACAACTGAGGTGGTTCATGAACCTTAAACAGCTACTCAGAAAATTCAAATGAAATTTGTCATTTATATTGAAAGTTATATTGTATTTATTTGCCAAGTCTCGTGTTGAGACGGAGACGACTGCTGAGCAGAAACAGACCACCACTCTCCCTGGCGGCTGTGCTCCTTGCTGGCAGGCAGGTGGCCAGTGGGGTGGGGGTGATGTGGTGGGGGGACCTCCTATCTGTACCCTGGTGGGTGGCAGTACCCACTCTCTTAGCAGTAGCCTAGGTTAAAAAAAGGCCTATGACAATGGGAAAAAAGTGTTCTGAGTTCCAGGAAAAGGACCTGAGGACTTGGTCAAACCCAGGTGTAAGTCGGGGACCTTCCACAGGGCAGGCTTTAGGATGCACTCTGCGCCCGCCCCTCAGGGACGGTGGGGACACTGAGATCTGTACCTGTTTCTCAGCTTGTTTCAGGAGCTTCTGGAATCTCTCATCTTCCAGCACACCCAGCGGAAGGTCAGTCTCTCCCTGAGCTTTCAGCTCCTCCAGCTTTTGCCTCAAGCCCCTGAGGGCCTGCAGCTCATCATTGAGGCGGCTCTGCCGGGTTAGAGATGCCTGAAGGTCCAGTTCTAGGTCTAGAGATGTGCGCACTGGGCGTTCTTGTGCTGTTCTTCTCAGGACTGGCTGGCAAACCGTCTGCAGGGTTAGAAAACAACACAACAAAACACCCTTATTATGTGGGTACTCATTATTCTGCTCTTTGTCCTTCCTGGCACATGACAGCCAGCATTTCCTGGCTCCTTTGAAGTGAGGCACCACCGGCCAGGTGGACTGCTTTGGCCGATGTGGCAGTGCTGTGTAGGCACCACCTCCGGGCAGAAGCCTTTCCAAGCCAGGGTGAGATGTGTGGATTTCTGTCCCCTGCTAGTGGGACAGCAAAGATTCAGAGGCAGAGGCCCCGTCAGCGTGGGTCCTGAGCGAAGACAAAATGAGCAGAGCATCTAGCCAACCTGCAACGAACACGTAGCTGAGCGAGAAATAAACTTTATTGTTTTAAACCACAGAGATTTTTTAACTTGTTACCCTAGTACAGCCTCTCCTGGCCTGGCCAATTTACTACACAGAGCTTCTGCCCTCTGTGAAACAGACATACAAGAAACTGACCCTTCGTCCATTTCAGGACCAGGGACCGCACCCCCAGAGCGCACTCCTTTAGCCATCATTTCTGTAGGTGCCGGCCAGAATGTAGCTGGTCATTCTGATTCTGAGCCCCTACTCTCATCAATATGCTGAAATCCCAGTTCCTTCCTCGATTTCCCATGGTCTAATATCCACTTTTACCCGTGAATCACTGGTGCTCTTCCCAGAGCCAATCCTATCTATTTCGCAAGAAATAATTATAGTGTATGTGTGACTAAATGTCTGCTGGGGTGGGGGCGGGGGGTGGAGGGCCAAACCCCAGGAAGAGAAGCCCCACTTGTTAACCTTGAAGACTTCCAGCAGTGAGCTGTGCCACAGGAAGTCAGGGAAGGGAGAGGTGGCTCGGGGCCGGTCATGCTTGCCTGAGGAAAGGAAGTCCAATGAGGCTGGGTAAGACTGCAACAGTGGAGGGGAACAAGGAGGGTATTTTGTGCCCAGATTGCTGGCAGTGGGAATGGAAAATAAGAGGTTACTAATAAAAACTGGCACTATTTGATGCGAGGGGAGGGACTCGAATTTGAGAAGTACTCGGGCTTGCAGATCTGGAATGGCGGTGGTGCTCATGACAGATGGGGGTGGGGGCCTGCATCCCCTTCCTGTTCCAGAGCCCTCACCCAGGGCTGAAGAGCTCGTACCACTCCTCTTCCTCACCCAGCACATACTGCTGTAATGTTCTCTAACGTTCTTATCAGGTTCCCTCTATTCAGCCTCTGCTCTAACAAACCTATTACACAGCAGAATCCCTGAGACACACACTCTCTTTGGCTGTATGGTTTTTCAGAATCAGAAATCCTTCCTCGTGGTTATGTAGATGGAACCTTTCTAAGGACTCCCATGTGCAGCGGTGTGCGGGCCGACATTTAATAAGTGGCTCTGGGTGGGGGCATGGGTGGAGAGAGGAGCATGGGGTGTAGGGTTCGCCGATTTCTATGGTGTAAGTATGCCCGCCGTAACTGTTTCTGTGCTGTCAGCGGGATGTCACTATGTTGGCGAGGACTGCAATGGTATCCCTCCTCCCCACCTCCCACCCCGCTACCATCTTCTTTTGAAATTTTATCCAGGTGTCAAGGCCATGGATCTCCGGCACACAGTCTTTTAGATACTCCCAACCAGATGAGCTCCTTCCTTCTTTTTTTTTTTTTTAAGATTTTATTTATCCATTTTAGAGATGAGAGAGAGAGAGAGAGAGAGCACAGGTGTACAAGCAGGGGGGAGGAGCAGAGGGAGAGGGACAAGCAAACTCCTCCCTCAGCACGAGCCCGATACCGGCTGGATCCCACAACCCTGAGATCATGAGCTGAGCCCAAATCAAGAGTCGGAGGCTCAACCGCCTAAGCCACGCAGGCGCCCAACTTCCTTCCTTTCTTTCACCCACCGCACATTCAACAGTCCTGTGCGCTCCTTGAATGCCTCCTTTAGACTGAAGCCTCCTGCAGGCGGTGCTTCCCTCACCCACAGAGCTCAGCACACGCAGGGCTTCGTGCTTATTTAAACAACACATCTCAGCAAAAGTATAATAGCTTAAGTCCATTATTGCTCCACAAATCATTAGTAAGCAAATAATTTTCATTAGCATTTCAGCTGGAGTAAGCAGGAATTGTTGAACTACTTGAACAGTCCAACCTTTTAATTTATTTAAATATTCTCTCAGACTTATCCTTTAAGGCTCAGAGACCTACGGCTTCCAGGAAAACTGGCGCTTTCCCAAAAATGTCTGCTTTTTAAGCAAGTTGCTAATACTGTGTACTCCTTTAGCAGAACATCTGCCCGTCCAAAAAGGTCCTGGGTGTTACACTCTTGCTCGAGAGCCAGAGACGGTGTGGGGACACAGCACCATCAACCCACTCAGCAAGCCCCTTTTCCATCGATACCGCAAAGTGAATTTCCTGGCTTCATTATCACAGGATCCAAACCAGCACTGCACGGCTGCTCTCAAGCACACCCTCCCTCCGTCTCCATAACTAACACGTCTGTGTCTCTCTGGAATCACATGCAGCGGCCCAAGAGCATGGAGCAATGATGCTCAGCAGTTCACAATTTGTGATTCTGGATTGGACTGAGACAGGGAGATGTTGCTGGGGGGAATACATACCCTTTTGACCCTCAAACTGCGCCGTTCAGTGGAGTTTCTCACAAACAGTGATTTTTTAGCCAAGGTTGAACTGTCACTGTCACTTCGATTCAACTGGCAACAAAGGATAAAAAAAAAAAAAAAAGAAAATCACTGCATAACAGAGCGCGAGTGGTTTACAACTGAGAAGTTTATCAGGTAAAAGCAGGTGGTGAGGAAGTTGTTTCTTTAAGAAAATCCTTCCCAAACAAGTTTTTCTGTTCTGTGCTTTTCTTAAACAACTAAGTTTTCTCACATAATTTCAACAATCGCCTTTTGGTGGTAGTTATCAGAACTCCTGCATTAAGATAATTATACATACTTGGAAATAAAATTATCCTTTGTATTTTTAGCTAATTTGCAATATTCATTTTTAAAAAGGAAGGTCTGTATAACCTAGAGGGTTACAACCAGATCAGAGTTCAGTCACAGTTTAGAAAAACCTAGAATGCCCTTGGCTCAGACAGCCCATCCTCACCCCTTCACCTGCTTCAGGTCTTGGCTGAAACAGCACCTTCTCAATGATGCTTACTTTGAACCCTACTTAAACCTGAGTGAGACCCTTGTTTTCACCATGCCCAATCCCCCTTAACTTGCTCCACTGTTTTCCTGAGACTCGGTCCCCACCCAAGACCCTTCCTAATTTGTTCATCACGTTCACTGTTTGGCTTGACTCACAAGGATGTGAGCTCTGCAAGGGCCAGGCTCTGGGGCTCTTCTGTTCACAGAGGAATTCCAACCAACTGTCTAGAAACATGCTTAGCAGCGGGTGCTTCATAAAAGTATTTGTTGAACTGAATGAATAAATTTAGAATTTTGAAAGTATTTTTCTAAACCATTTTATAATTATTAATCTATATTACTGTAAGTCATAAATACTTCCGGAAATAGAACTTGGCAAACTGATGCAAATCCCACCATATTCTCTACAGAACTGTGAATCTGATTCCGTGTCTAGAGGCATTATTAAAAGATGAGTTTTGTTCTAAAACCCAAGTCACAATTCTGGTTCTGTGGGATTAACGTGATTTGAAGCATATAGGATGTACTGCAGAAATACAACGAATTTTAAGTTTCTAAATAAAGACTGAAGTACAAATATACTCAGCAGCCAGGTCCTTAATTTCACGTTTGCCAAATAAATGGCTTAGAGTTCATGAGACATTAAATTTAGGAAAAGGAAAAAAAACAACAACCCAAACTGAGAAGGCCCATAGGAGTGTGCTCTTTCGTGGATGTTTCACAGCGGTTTTAGCCCTGTGTGTCTGCAGTTGGAGTCTGAAGACTGCCGGTGCCCAGTCTCCCGTCCGCGGGGGGCCACTCGCCCGGCCCCCTTACCCGGCAGATGTACTGGTTGCGCTCCCCCGGGGAGAAGGTCTGCGAGCGTACGATCACGCTGCTCCGCACGAAGGGCCGCTGCCGGGCGCTCAGGCAGCTGCGGTCTTTGGGGCGGACCGCCACGCCGGCATCACCGGCCTCCTCCGTGTTTGTCTCTTTATCGACCTGGAATGGAAGTCAAAGTTTGTCAGGAGCGGACGGGCCTGGATACCTGTCTGCTCCTTTCTTCTAAGGACAAAAGAAGTATCTATCTCACAACAGAGCCTCACCCAGCACTGGGGCCACTGGGGCGAGAAGGGCTTGGTGTTTACTCCAGATGGGAACCCGGGGAGCGGGCCCTCCACCGAGTTAGGAAGTGACCTGCCGTGGGGAGGACGGGGTCGCCCGTAAACGGAGGTGCCGTCTCTAACACATCAGACCCACACGAGGAAGGCTGAGACTTACAGAGGGTGAGTGTGGTTCTGCAGCAACTCTTATCTAGGAATACTTCATCATTAAACGCTGCTCAGCGTTCCAATTAGGTTTTTCTTTCTTTTTTTTTTCCAGAATAATGATAGAAGCAATTACATACAAGAAAATGAAAATGTACTACAAAGTTAGAGTTTCATATAGAATATGCAATTATATGTATTTGAAAATAGCAAGGCTCTGAAGCTGAGTTTGGATTTTTGGCTTCTCTTTGGAAATGTAACAAAAAATAAAAGTAAAAACAGAAGTTTCTCAAAATACAAACTCTCCAGGCACATGCAGATGGTTATTGTTGATCTCAGGTGTATAAAAGGATTCCAACCTGCCTTGCGCTGGTTTATTCAAGAAAAGTCTTTGGTCAGGGTACAATACTATTTCCCCCGGGAATAAAGAACTGGAATTCCCTAGCCTCCATTACCAACATCCCAATGCACTCTCCACCCACACGTCTCTCCCTCAACTAGCAAAGTTACTGCTGCACAACTTGGCTGGCACCCGCCGGGAACCCGAGCCACCTGCCACGTTCCAGAGCAGATTCCAACCAGAACCCCACCGGAACCAAGAGGAACTTCAAATGTTTACTTCAGGTTTGAGATGGAAATAAACTTACATTTACAAAACTTAACACAATCCAGTAGTTATCCTGGAATTTGGTAGTCATTCTGGAAATGCTTTTAATACATATTCAGAGGACATTTATGGAGATCTAGATAGCACTATTCATCTTCTTACATAAAATGTAAGCGAAGAATGAATATTTGGGGCCCATTTAAAAATTTTACAGCATTTCCACTGCCTCTTAAGAGCCCATTTCCACAAACGCCTCTCAGGACGAGCTTTGCACAAAATCCTAACACGGGATCTCAGCCGGGACAGACTCCGCCTGCGCGGTGCCATCGGACAGGGGCGTCGGGGCGCGCGGCCGCGGGTCCTCACCAGGGTGCACGGTCCGGCAGGTGGCTGGCGCCCGCGGTCATCACAGCCACGCTCGCCTCTCCTGCCCGCGTCCTCCTCCGCCTCGGGTGCGCTCGGGCACGAGCACAAGTCTCCTGGACAGCTACTGCCCTCTGGCAACTTCACGTGGGCCTCTTCTTCAGACGCAATTTCATCAGAGGCCTCTCGCAGCATGGTCAACCTGCGGTGCGACAAGACAGAAGGAAACAGGCCCCAGGTAGGTGAGGCAGGTGTGCGCCCCGGGCGGCACAGTGAACGCGGCTCACGCACGGTGACTGGAGCCGCGGCTGCGGCGCGAACTGCAGCTCACATGCGCGTGAAAGACACAACCACCACCTGACTCGAGCGACACGCAGCAACATCACCATACTTCGGCACTGGAAAGTTAAATGAATGAAATTTCACCTAATTCCTAGATATTAAAATAGAAATAGTCTGAAAATCACATATAAAGGGGCGCCTGGGTGGCTCAGTCATTAAGCGTCTGCCTTCGGCTCAGGTCATGATCCCAGGGTCCTGGGATGGAGCCCCGCATCGGGCTCCCTGCTCGGCGGGGAAGCCTGCTTCTCCCTCTCCCACTCCCCCTGCTTGTGTTCCCTCTCTCGTTGTGTCTCTCTCTGTCAAATAAATAAATAAAATGTTAAAAAAAAAATCACATATAAAATTTAACCCTGCCATTTAAAAAACTGACACTCACTACAATGTTTATTTATTGTAAAATTAATCTCACAACAGGACGGAGTGACTTTATTCTAAAAGCAAATAAAGACATAAGCACCGAAAATCTCCATTATCCAGGTGCCTGGCTGGCTCAGTCAGAAGAGCACGTGACTCTTGATCTTGGGGTTTTAAGTTCGAGCCCCACGTGGGTGTAGAGAGTACTTAAAAGTAAAATCTTAAAAAAAAAAATATGTCCACGGTCAACTGTGCTTACAGGCTAGCAGGGGTAAAACCCTGGGAAAAGGGAGTTCTACTACTGACATCACAAGAATCCCAATGCCATATGATCTTGTCTTTAACAAAAGCCAAGGCATGGGCTGAGGTGGCGTGATAAGCAGGCTTCCAGAATGTACACACAATTTATAGTCTGTGTAACCTGCATGGACAGGAACACAATAGTACCAGCATGACTTAGAATACCTCATGCTTTGTTGAGTTTCATGTCCTTAGAACGGAAACACTTCTTCCACTGATAACTCAAAGTTGAGCTATAATTGTGATTGGTGACTTTCTGACAAATTGGCACACGCCAGTAATTAAACGCCTAGTCATGCAGTGAGCGCAGGGGAGCGAGCAATGAATTCTGCGAGCTATAAATTCCTTTATGCTACATTTTCTGAAACATATATGAAATGAATTGTATTTTCCATACACAAAGAAGGCTTGGTATTTAAAATACCATGATGAACCTTATAATCACTCTTGTATTTATTATTTTTGTAGTACTCTGATTCATAACCATTGTAAAGGGCTTCTGATAAGAACAAAGTACATCGGTGCCTTGGTGCATCACTGTAGTAAGCCTTCCTTCCAAAGGTCTAAGAGTTTGTTATTTACGACATATCTTGTCACTGTTAGCTTGTAACAAGTTTTACACACACACACACACACACACACTATACATATGTGTTAACAGTAGTTCAAGCGTATCAGTATAAGCAACTACATATACATTAAAATCAATCCAAATAATTTTACATATATACTTTAAAAACGGACGCATTCACCAAGATTTGTTTTTAGAGAAAACTGCAAACCAGGGAATACAGTTCTTTTCTGTATGTGAATCTAGACAAAAGCTATAGTAACCTTTTTTTTTTTTTTAAGGGTGGGGGTGTGGAGAATGAGGAGGGAGCAGGAAAAGAAGATGGAAGTGGTAACAAACAGAGAGTGACGACTCAGAAGCCGTTTTCTAGAACATGTGCCCTGACTTGCCTGAACCTAAATGGTACAATGGTACTTCTGGTAGTTTAAAGAAAAAGAAAGTAAGTTTTAAATTTATGTATGAATGGACAATACACCACCACATCTTTCAAAACAGGTATTTTTAGACTTAAAATTTCAAACAGCTCCGGAAAGAGTGTCAGCACTGAAGGAAGCAGGAACAAAGAGCCTCCTTCCTGTGTTCACGCTGATGCTGCCCGCCATTTCCCTGTTGCCTTCTTCGACTCTCTGATGACCAAAGAAGGTCTTTCCTTTAATGGCGGCTCCCTGGCATGGCACTGTTCTCCAAAATTCCAGGGTAATAAGAAACAAACCTATGAAGGTTCCCCTGAAAATTTCTTGTAAGAAACTAAACACATCCTCTTTGAGTTCCCAGAGAGCAAAAGGAAACAACTGTTTTTACCAATCTCCATCTGGACCTCTTTGCTCTTCTTCCTGCCTGGGTTCTTCTTCTTCTTCTTCTTCTTCTTCTTCTTCTTCTTCTTCTTCTTGTGCTAATTCCTGTTCCACAGCCAACAGCTCGGCTGATGTTCTTGCAAGTAAGGCTGACACTGCATCCTGGGGAATAGAAAGAATATATGGCACCGAACATCATCTACTGTGAGACATGATTTAAAAACTCATCAGATGGGGATGTAAGCTTCCGGTTGTGAAAAAGAAGGTGGTATGGGACCCAATCCTCCTGCTGAGAACAAATATGAAAACTGGATAAAATAAGACAAAAAGCAATAAACAAACCAAACTCCAGCTGTTTTAAAGCAAGGAAAGAGCAACACTGGCAATCAGGAATAGAGGCCAAGATCCCAGGGAGAAGAAAATACAAGAAGGTGAAGCGACATCACTGTCACTCTTCTCCCTTGGGGATGGTGTCAGCTCTAGCGGTGGGGCGTAGAGGCTAAAACTATGGCTGTGCAGGACACTGGCAATATCAGTAGGATGCAAAGATGAAAACCAAGCTGAACCACCATGGCAGGCAGCGCGCGAGGGGCCAGAGAAAGGATCTGTAGTGAGTCCGGTATTCTGTAGAATACTCTTGGTGTGCTATTTGCTGTTCCTAAGTGGCATATGTGAAAGCAAGAGGTGAGAAACTGAAGAAAATCCAGCTGTGAGGAGGCTAAAACAGGAAGCAGATGCTTCAGTTTCTTTATGGTCCTAGGGAGAGGAAAATTGGAACTCAGGTCCTCCAAGTGATCCAGGTGATCTGTAACCTGCCTTCTGGAAGAATATTAAATCCTCTCTGGAGGAAGGTATCAGCCAGAGCCTCTATCATTCTTCATACATAATATGGAATCCACTGGAAACAGGACCCAATGACTGATCGAAGGGCAAGAACAGCAACAAATAAGATGAAAGAGGCAGATCTATAGGTGATCCACATACTGCAGTTATTCAGAGAAGGAATTTAAGATTTTACAATTAATATGTTCAATAAAACTGATGAAATGATGGAGAATTTCACTAGTGTATACAGAAAGAATGCCACATTAGCACATCAGAGTGAAACTGCTGAAAAGCAAAGAAAGAGAGAAAAATCTTATAAACAGTGAAAAAAAAGATGCATTACTTTTGAAGGATCAACTATTCCCCAGCAGCTCAACAGAATCAGTGGAAACCAAATGACAACAAAATGGTATATTCAGTGTGTTCAGAGAATTAACTGCCCACCTAGAACTCTGAATATGCAGAAAAAAAGTCCTTCACAAGTGGAAATAAAGACACTGACGGATCTGCACTAGAAGAAATACCAGAGGGAATTCTTCAAGCAGAAGGAAAATGACCCAAATGGAAGCACACTAATGCAGAAAGAAATGAAATACACCAGGAGGGGTAAAGATGTGGGGTAGTCTAAATGAATATTGACTGTCAATAAAAAATAATACCTTGTGGAATTTAAAATATGCGTACCTAAAATACATGACCAATAATTTCACAGAAGGCGGAAAGGGAATAAATGGAGTTAAAGTCTTTTAAATTCTTTGCCTGGGAAAAAGTAAAAGCATTAATTTAAGGTAGCTTCTAATAGCGCAAGGATGCATGCTCTAGTCACTAGGGATGTGCAAAAAATAAAGACTGCATTACTCATGATCTAATAGGAGGGAAAATGAAATTTAAAAAAATACTTGACTAATCCAAAAGAAGGAAAACAAGGAGCAAAGACAGTACTGCAAGAAAACAAACAGTAAGACCATAGGGTCAAACCCAAATATATTACTAATTAGCATTAAATGTAAATGAACTAAATATTTCCATTAAAAAGTAAAGCTTTTAAGACTGGATAATAAACCAAAACCAACTATATACTGCTTACAAGTGCAACACTTTAAGAATTCAGAAGTATTGGAAGTAAAAGGATGGAAAAAGATAAAACCATGAAAACACTAACCAAAAGAAGGGCTGAGATAGCTTTATGAATATCAGACAAACAGAGTATAAAATAAGGGGTATTAGAACAGATAAAGAGGGATATTTTATAATAATAAAAGGGCCAGTTGAACAGAAAGATACAACACAATGCTAAATTTATATTTACCCAAAAATACAGACACAAAATTCAGAAAGCAAAAACTAACAAACTAAAAGGAGAAACAGATGTCTATAATCCTACGTTGGAGGATTTTAATATACCTCTCAACAACTGGTAAAATAAGAGAAAAATCAGTAAATGTGGAAGATTTGAAGGGCAAAATCAACAAACTTGACCTGCAACACACAAAACTTTTAACAACAACTTTTCAACAACACACAAAACTTTTACCAAAACTGACCACGTGCTAAGCCATAAAGCAAGTCTCAATATTCTGTATGATTGACTAGTATGTACTCTGTTCTCTGAAAACAGTGAAATACAGCTAGAAATCGATAATAAAAAGAAAACTAGAAAAACCTCATTGTTTGGGAATTAAGTAAATACACTTCTAAAAAAACCTCACAGATCAAAAAAGAAATGACAATGGAAATTATAAACTATTTTAAATTCAATGATATTTTAATAATCTCATATTATCAAACTTGTGAAAAGCAGCCAAAGCTGTGCTCAAAAAGAATTTTTTAGCCCTAAATGCATATATTGGAAAAGAACGTTGTTAAATATAATGATCTATCTCAAGAAGTAAAAAAAGTACAGCAAATTAAACCTAAAGAAAGTAGAAGCAAGGAAATAATAAAGAAAAGAGCAGACTTAACAAAATAGAAAACACACATATAAATAGAAAAAAAAAAATCAACGAGGCCAAAAGTTGTTTCTTTGAATAAAATAAAAAACTTGACGAATCCCTAGCAAGAGTGAAAAAAAAGAGAAATGGTAAAAGTTACCCATGTGAGAAACAGAACAGAGAACACAGCAAAGTCCTTGCATATAATGAAAATAAGAAGGTATCATGAATAACCTTGCCAAACTTTTGGTAATATAGATAAAACAGAAAAATCCTATAGAAAACACTACTCTTACTAAAATGAATACAAGTACAGAAAGCTGGAATAGTCCTATACTTAATAAAGAAATTGAACCTGTAATTAAAAAACAATCCACTAGCCCCTAGCATCCATTATATTAAAACAAAATAAAATGTAACATCTAGAATGGTATAAGTTATGTGTCATCCTTGGGAGAAATAAGAAAGTAGTCATTGAAAACATTTTTTTATAGTGCTTACTACTTTTGCAGAACCTTAGTTGAGAAAGGCTGCTTCTCACAAAGAAAATTACAGGCTAGGCTGGTGAATTTTCTTGGGAATTCTTCCAAATATTTAAGGAAGATATGACACCCCTCTTACAAAGCCTTCTGCAGAGAGTAAAAAAAAGAATGCTTTCTAACTTATGAAGCCTGTAAAACCTTGATATCAAAAAATGACATTACAAAAAAAGAAAACTAAAGACTAATCTCTCTCATGAACATAAATGAAAAATAGCCCAAACACAAAATCAAGAAATCAAATCCAGCAACGCATATAAAAACACATGTAAAATATACCACAATGAAGTCTGTCCTATTCTAGGAATCCAAGGGTGGCTTAACATTCAATAGTCAATCAGTGTATAATCCACCACATTAAGAAAATAAAAGAGAACAATTGTGTAATCAATTTAAGAGGTAAGTAAACAGTAAAAATGTTTGATAAAATTCAATGTCCATCATAATAAAAAGTCTTAGCAACCTAGAAAGAGCAAGAAATTCCTTTAATCTGATAGCAATTATCTATAAATAGCCTTAAAAATCACTCTAAATGACGAATTTATTTAAAGCCCTCACTGTGAAAAAAGTATAGTATTTTCTGCAGAGGTGGACAACTAAGCCCACAGAATAGAACAGAATTATCCATGACCAGACTCCCAAGCACCTTATGAGAAAGATGACATTGTGATGCAGTTGGGAAAGAAAAGTTTTTCAACAAATGGTGCTGGGTCAATCAGCTATCACATGGATAAAAAGGAATCTTGACCCCTACCTCACACCTTATACAAAAGATAATTTCAGGTGAACTTAGATCTAAATGTGAAAGGTAAGGCAATAAAGCTTTTAAGATCATACAGTAAACCATCTTCATGATCCTGCGGTAGGCAAACAGTTCTTAAATCGCAAAGGAAAGCACTAAGCATACAGGGAAAAATTGATAAATAAGACTATGTTAAACCCGAGTACTTCCATTCACCAAAAGGCAACATTAAGAAGATGAATGGGCAAGCCACAGAATAGGAAGAGCTATTTGCAAAAAACATATTGGACAAAACACTCAAATCTAAAATTAAGAACTGCTACCAACCTATGAAAAAAAAAGAATCTGATAGAAAAACGGGCAAAATCTTGAACAGACACTTCACAAAAGATGACAACCATCTGGCCATTAAACATAATCAGGGAAATGCAAAAAACAGGAGAGTACTATGTATCTATCACAATGGCTAAAATAAAGACGATAAATAAAGACATGTACGAGATGCTAATAGCAGCACTACTCATAATAGCCCTCAAGTTAGAAACTCAAAGGTCCATCAATAGCAGAATGGATAAAGAAAGCGTGATATAATTATACAATGAACTATCACACAACACTGAGCATGGCTGAAGTACAATTACACAAAACACAGATGACTTGCACAAACATAATGCTGAAAATGAGATGCCAGACATAAAGGAACATATACTGAATGATTCCATTATATAAAGTTCAAAGACAGAAGTCAGAATAGAGGTTACCTTTAGGGGAGAGTGGTAATGACTAGATGGGGCACAAAGGAGGATTCTGGGGTGCTGGTAATGCACTATACCCTGATCTGGGTGGTAGCTACACAGGTGTGTTGACTTTGTGAAAATTCATTGGAAAATACACACTACCTTTGTCCGCTTCGTTATAAATCTCTCCATCACTCCTCTCCACAAAAGAAACAAGTTAAAGTGAGATTAGAGGGGCGCCTGGGTGGCTCAGTTGGTTAAGCGACTGCCTTCGGCTCAGGTCATGATCCCGGAGTCCCGGGATCGAGTCCCACATCAGGCTCCCTGCTCAGCAGGGAGGCTGCTTCTCCCTCTGACCCTCCCCCCTCTCATGTACTCTCTCTCTCTCATTCTCGCTCTCTCAAATAAATAAATAAATCTTTAAAAAAAAAGTGAGATTAGAGTAAGACAAGAAGTGTAATAAAAATGTATATATATGTGTAACAACACAGTGAACCTAAGAAACACCTGTAGAATACTCACCCAATAAGAGCAGAGCACACATTCTTCTCAAGGGCACATGGAACATTCTCCGGGAATGGTAGCATATGTTAGGCCGTAAAACAAGCCTCAGTAAACTTAGAAGGACTGAAATCATACAAAGTATGTGCTCTGACGGCACTGTAAGGAAATCAGAAATCAATAACACAAGGAAACCACAGGAAGTAACAAAGATGTGGAAATTAACACATTCCTAAATAACCAATGAGTCAAAGAAGTCACAAGGAAAATCAGAAAATACTTAGAAAGGAATGAAATTTATAGCTAGCAGTGCCTGTGTCAAAGCAGAAGAAAGATCTCAAATCTATAACCTAACCTTGTACCTTAAGAAAACGGAGAAAGAGTAAACCTAAAGTAATCAGAAGGGAGGAAATAGTAAAGACTACTCTCTCTCTCTCTTAAAAAAAAAAACAAAAAAAACTCAGGGTTGTCAGATCGAGTCCCTGCGTCGGGCTCCATCCTGGGCCTGGAGACTGCTTAAGATTCTCTCTTTCCCTCTCCTCCCTGCCCCTCTATAATAATAATAATAATAATAATAATAATAATAATAACAACAACAACAATAATAATAATGACAGAGTAGAAATTCATGAAATAGCAAACAGAGAAATATCAGAGAAGATCAATGAAACCAAAAGGTGATTCTTTGAAAAGATTCAAAAAAGTAAAAACCTTTAGCCAAACTGACCAAGAAAAAGAGAGAAAAAGCTCAAATGACTGAAATCAGGGGCCAAAGAGGGAATATCACTATCAACTCTACAGACATAAAATGAATTATAAGGGTTACCACAAACAACTGTTTGCCCACAAGTCAGACAACCTAGATAAGATGCACACATTCCAGAAAGACACAAACTACTCAAAGTGACATTATAACAAAATTCTGAGTAGACTTACAACAAGTAAGAGATTGAATTAGTAAACAAAAACCTTTCCACAAAGTCCAAACCCAGAGGGCTTCACTGCCGACTTCTACCAAACATTTAAAGAAGAATTCATACCAATTCTTCTCAAACTCTTCCAAAAGACAGAGGATGAGAGAATACTTCCTAACTCATTCCCTTAGGCCAAAATTACTCTGCTGTTGAAACTAGACAAAGACATCAGGAGAAAACTATGAATACAGACAAAAAAAAGTTCTCAACAAAATACAAGAAAACTGAATCTAATAACATAAAAAGGATTATACACCATGACCAAGTGGGATTTATCCTAGGAATGTGACGGTTCAATAAACCGTATGAACAGAATAAAGGATAAAACCACATGTCATCTCAATAGATTCAGAAAAGCATTGGTTAAATCCACAGCCTTTATGATAAAACACTCAACAAACTAGGAAAAGGATTCCCCTCAACTTGATGAAGGGCAACTACAACAAACCATTAGCAGAAATCATACATAATGGTGAAAAACTGAAAATTTCCCCCTAAGATCACATCCATGACAAGGATGTCTGCTCTCACCACTTCCTGCGATATCATAATGGAAGTTCTAGCCAGGGTGAAGGGGCAAGAAAAAGAAAGAAAAAGCAACTGGAAAGAAGAAAGAAGTAAAACCAACTCTTTGCAGAAGATATGATGTTACATATAGGAAATCCTAGGGAATCCATGAAGAAAACTATTCGACTTAAACCTGTTCAGTAAGGCTGCTGGATACAAGACAAGTAGTCAAAAATCAATTGTGCAATAAATAATCTGAAAATGAAATTCAGAAAATAGTTATTTACAACAGCATCAAAAAGAGTAAAATTAACAAAAGAAGTGTGATTTTGGGCTCTGAAGACGGCAAAACATTTTTTGAAAGAAGTTAATGAAGACCCAAATAAATGGGAAGATATCCCGTATTCATAATCAGAAGACTTAAAACTGTTAAGATGACAATACCCTCCAAATTGATCTACAGACTCAATGCCGTCTACATAAAAATCCTAGCTGCCTTTTTTTTTTTTTGCAGAAACTGACAAACTAAATACTAAAATTCATTTGGAAATGCAAGGGACCCCAAATAGCCCAAACCATCTTAAAAAAGAAAAAAAAGATGGATGACTCACATGTTCTTATTTCAAAATAACTACAAAGCTACAGTCATCACAGTAGTGTGATGTTGGCACAAATACAGACATACAGATTAATAGAACAGAATTTAGGGTCCAGAAATACAAACGATCACACTTATGGTAAAGTGACTTTCAGCAAGGATGCCAAGCTAATTCAGTGGGGAAAGACTAGTGTTTTCAATTAAATGGTATTGGGAACAATTGCATACCCACCTACAAGAAAATGAAATTGGACCTACTCCTCACATCACACATAAAGAATAACTCAAATGGATCGGAGACCTAAAAGTAACACTAAACTTTAAAACTCTCAGAAGAAAACACAGGAGTAAATCTTTAAGATGTTCGGTTGGGCAAAGTCTTCTTAGATATGACATCAACAGCACAAGCAATGTAAGAAAAAAACACATCTGGACTTTTCTCAAAATTTAGTATTTTCTACTGCAAACAAAACCATCAAGAAAGTGAAAAGAAACCCAAAGAATGAGAGAAAATGTCTGCAAGTCATTTATTGGATAAGGGACTTGTATCAAGAATACATGAGGAACTCTTATAACTCAATAATAAAATAATAATAAAGAGATAATAATCAAGTAAAATAAAAAAAGATGAGGAACCCACCTAAAACACAAAGGATCCAAATAGACAGTTCTCAAAAAAATTTTTTTAAATATTCTAATGACCAGTAACTCCATGAAAATGTGCTCAATATCCTTAGTCATTAGGGGAATATAAATCAAAACCACAATGAGATAGCACCTCACACCACACAGCATGGCTAAAATCAGAAAGACAGATTAATAACGGGGCAAGAGCTGGGATGACAGGAGCCCTCGTACATTGCTGGTGAGGATGTAAAATGGTGCACCCACTGTGGAAGACAGCTTGTCATTTCCTTTAAATGTTAAAACACAAGAGCTACTATATGACCAGCAGGTCATACACCTAGATATGTACACCCAAGATTAATGAAAATGTATGTCCAAACAAACTCTTTTACAAATGTTCACAGCAGTGGTATTAATAATAGTCAAAAAGCAGAGACAGCCTAAATGCCCATCTGCTGATGAACAGAAAAATAAAAGGTGGTATATCCATATAATGGAGTATTATTTGGAAATATAAGGGAATGGGGTACTAATACATGCTAGAATATGGATGCACCCTGAAAACATGATGCTAAGTAAAAGAAGTATTATTCCATTTATATGAAATGCCCATAGTCAGCAAATTTATAGAGAGAGAAACATGAGTGGTTGCCTCGAGGGAAAGGCCTTAGGGAGAACAGGGAGCTACTGCGAATGGGTATGGGGCTTCTTTCTGGGATGACGACAGTATTCGAATACTACATTGTGGTGATGGTGGCCCAGCTCCGTGAATATACTAAAAACCACTGAACTGTGAGCTTCAGACGGGTGAACTGTACGTTTTCAATGGAGGAACCGTATGGTATGTGAATTACACTGCATGGAGCTGTTAAAAAAATTTACCCACAGCGCAACCATCACATCAGCACACTCCAAGGTACAAGTCCTATTTCATCATCCTGTGTGCCTTACTCAGTGTCGACCACAAAGTGGGGCGTGTGATACCAGCTCCACCAGCACGCTTGCTTTCCTTTCTCCACCTACCACGACATCCACTGTCGTGCCTTGCACACAGGAGATGATCAGTAATTATGTGACTTCTGCTTGGTAAACTCTTTCCTCATAAATAACCGAAAATGAACTTGAACTTGGTAACAATATTCACAGATGCCAAGTCAGTGATGAATGGCTTCCCAGAATGCCCCCTGTAAATTTTCTGAAGTGTTGAATGTGGATGATTGTTGGTTACAACAGTACAACTGCTGATTTATAACAAGCTTAATAGAAGATATTTATCACTTTACTGATGTAACAAATAGAAACTAAGACGTTCTTTATCCTTAGTAATTTAACGTCTGCAGATGATCTGAGTTCCAAATGTATAACCTGACAGTGGAATCAAAGATGTGAACACGACATATCAAAGTAGAAATTTAAAGCAAAAGGTTTTCCATGGTCACCTAACCCAGCTAAGACTATGCATCAGTTTATTCTGATGGAAGGAAGTGTGAGCAAAAATGAGTGATTCTTTTATAAACTATACTTGAAAGGAAGCTGGAAATTATCTTTCATTCTGGTTTTGTCGTTGTTAGGAAGCTGGGAGGAAGGGGTAAGCTGGGGAAGGACGGGTAGTGCAGGTGAGCAGGAACACACCCGTTACCACAGCATTCCACATTTCGCATTATTTCCTTTAGTCCTAAGGCTAAAGTCCTTTAGCCTTTTTACCCCAATTTGGACTCACCAAGTCTATAGAATCTATTAATGGCTGATTTGGTTGAAATACAGAGTCCTCATTTTCTTCATCATTCTTTTTACAAGACATTTGCTTGGAAGGAAGCAGGTTATACCACAGAGTGAAAATCTCGTTGGAAAATGGTAAATCAGCCAGACTGATCTGAGTTCCAGCCTGTGTGAAATGAAGGTGGGGGGAGAGGGGGAGAAAAGAAGAGAAAATAAAATGTTTAAATTCACATTTGCCTCTTCTCATATAATTAAGATTATGCGGCAAGCCTGTTGTAGGGTTAAACAAATGCAATACTCATATAAAGCATTGGTAGGTTTTTTTTTTTTAAACCTGAAGGTGTGACTAAGTAAGAAATAACCCCAATCTAGAAGCCAACCCTAGGATTATTTTGTGAGATACTATTTTGCTAAAACCTAACGACCGAGCATGCAACTTTTTGTAAGTAGAATTATTTTTTAATGAAAAGTCAAAAAATAAATTAAAAAAATAAACGATTAAGCATAAATCATAATGCCTCTTATAATATGCTGTAAGAGTCATTTGATTATTACTAACAAAAACCCATTATCCAGGATAAAATTCAAAAACAAAAACCTTACTGTGGTTCTTATATGAGAGACCAGATAGCAAAATTTTTCTTTGGATTAGATGAATGTCAAAGAAAGTTTTTATATTCCAGCAAATGACACATATGAGCCAGGATCTAGTTAAACAGTACCACTTTTTTAAAGGCTATTAATTAAGGTATTTACTAACTTTAAGGAGCTTCTGACACACATATCTATTGTAGTAATCTGACCACCTACTGAGTCACTATCTTGGCTTTTTTTTTTTATTGCCAGGTAATATTATCAAATATCTTTTTCATATAAAGAAAAGGAAATATCAACCAGAAATCTATCATCCTTGTAAACTTTGTTCATCATGAAGCTTGTTTTTGTGTTTCCTATTGTACCGCAGAGAAAAGTTCAACATGAAACCTGCGCTGTTGTTTGGGCACCCCCTCAATGTCTGCATTGGAACACCTTGTGTAACTTTTCTGGTGTATAATGGTTTTCTGGTTATTATGTACAATGGTGTGTTAAACTCACTATTAATTAGACATGAAGTCTCTCGCGTGAGCATTTAAACATCGTATTCCTCTAAACAGCAACATTTAAGTCTTCCTAGAAGCTATAATACCATGGCTGGGGGGAATATAATAAAGGGACTGGATACTCAGTCTCCTGCCTAATTTAAACTTATAACAGTGAATTACGTGTGGGATGTCTTTTTGATATCAGGCTCCATCGTTCACTAGCTTCGTGACCCTGGACACATTACCTCTCTTCGCAGTTCTTTATCTAAAAATAGGGGTACTCATACCTTCTCCCCTGAGACCGTCATGAGGATTAAATGAGATAATGTACACCAAGCACCCAGCACAAAGACTCCCGTTGGGAATAACAAGCACGCTCCAGAGCGATCATCATGACAGAGGTCAAAGGGCAGAACGGGAGATAGATTTTACAGAAAATCACAACTAATAAGCAGATTTGAAAGGTCCTGAATAAGAAAATGAAAACCAGAAATCACTGCTTCTGATAAAAAAAAATGAAACCACCACTGGCTGTGCCCGAGGCGCTGGGCAGATCTGTGGTGGTCCCAGGGCTGGCGAAACAGCAACGAGAGAGTTCTTCTCAGCACACCCCAATCATGGGTCTCCGGCGGTAAAGGGAACTGTGAAATGACCTACCAGGCATTCTTCACTTCGGTGTTTACTAACAGAGCAAAGATCTACTCTCAGTGTCTTCTGCTGTAAGGCTGTTTGGGAAATGGCCACTCGGAACATATCATTGAATAAGATGGATTCTGTGGCTGGATGGACTCTTGTTCGAAACAGACAGCTGACATCCATCGAGGAGGGAAGCAGAGCAACCCTAAAGTATCTGCAAAGAACAAGCGTGAAATGGATTTTACAGGTACTTCAATTATACCAGATTCGCAGCTGTCGTCTGAAATCATCTGCGAAAGAGAGAAACACAGGGGAACATGGGGTTCATCATCAACTGAAAGCTTTGCTGTCAGAATGGGCCCGTCCGTGCTCAGCGGCCCAGAGGCTCTCTCTTCGCCCACCCATGCTGACCGTGCCCCCGGGCCTGCCGCTCCCCACGGGGCTGCAGCAACGAGAGGACCCGGGAAGAGAAAGGGAGGAAAAAAAATCCGTGGGGCAGATGAATTTAACGTCCCACCTGCCTGGGGACAGCCAATTCCAAAGTAAAGTTTTCTGAGTCTGGGAAGACGGGATCATGCTAAGCAAACTTTGTCCCCAAGAATACTCACCCCCCAGTATTAAACAAGGGGTGCTGGTGATCATTTCCCAGGAGTGAAATACATTACCCTACTAGTGAAGAAGAACGGCTGAGGAGCATATTGTGAAGCAAACTGACAAATGTTATTGTCCAGTAGCACAGAATTTTCAGAAAGGACAAACCGTTTCAAGAGGCTTATTGCTTTGTAAATTTCAGAGGGAGACTTACAGAAAACCAGTAACTTCTAATACTACTTTCAGGCGATTTTTTTTCTAAAGCACACGTTACATGAGGATTCACAATTCTTAGAAACGGCATGAAGTATTTTCTTTTAAATCCCGGAAAGAAAACGCCCATTAAATCCCTCCCCGACTAATTCCCGCCTGGTCTAATTCCAATTCTAAAAGATGCCTTTCTCCTATTGCGAAAACTGTAAATTCACAGGCAGGACTGAGGGATGTCCTATTATTTCTGTATTTTATATCAGACTATACAATTGATGATGCAATATGTATAATTATGGAATTATCAGAATATACAAACTGATTATGAAGATTCAGCCTTAGGGGACTAGGGAGCCTTGGGCCGCTGCTGTTAAGGCTGGAGATTCGGCAGAAGAAATGTGTGTTTGAAAGCCAGGAGGGGAAGTACACTGCAGAGCTGCAATGGAGGAAGCAACTCTCTGCCTCTCCAGACCCCAGTTTTCCTCTGTGCCAGTGGCCTAACCACTTCTGCGGCCCCAAAACGTCTCCACGTGCAGAACAGTTTTACATGGTTAAGAGCCAAAGGCACGGGGGAGAGAAGGTAGGGGCGCTTTCCCTTCCATTCTGCTGTAGGTGGGGTCTCTCCGCACTGCGTCAGGAGCCGACCAGCCGGAGCAGAAGCTCCGCTTGGTGTCACTAATAACCAGAAAGTAAAATTTGAAGTTAAGGGGGGGAAAAAAGATCGATTTTAAGATACTTCAGTTTTGGCAGTGTCATTATGTGGACCAAGGCTTTTATGTAGGGGCTTAAGAACACGGCGCTAGACATCTCAGGAAGGTGCAGACCAGTCAGACGAGTAACTGCCCACGAGCTGGGGGCAGAAGAGCCCACTGCACTCACTGACATCGGTCCTCAACTGTGCTGGCTGTCACCCTACCTCAGGGGCACTTTGTGGCTTCCCAGGAGGAAAGGGAGAGGCACCAAGATTGCTTGGCAGCGGCACATGTGCCAAGCCCTCACAGCACAAGATTAAAGAAGATGCGTGTTCTCAGGGACTTCTGGGGTTTTCCCCTGGACTAGTGGGATGGCTCTCCCTGTTCACAGGTGCGCTCCCTGGTGGAGCGGTCTTCTCCCAGATATGCCGTACTGGAATAAAAAGGCTGCCAACGCTCCAATACCTCAGCCTACTCACTGGGAGGGAGAAGTCACAGGTAATATTGTCAGGGCCGTCTTCCCTGCGTACTACTGCTGACTGGCCTTCCGATTCTCAGTTCCAGGAAGCAGGCTCTCTGGGGTGACACAGACACTCCCCAGGAGGCCTTCCCTCCTCCTGGTCTCCCTGTTTACTGTGGACGCACCCCCCCACCTTGATTTCAGGAGATCTTGCAGCCCGCTCCCCTCCTGGAATCCCATTCCCCTCCAGCTCTGATGACCGTCAATACCCAGACATCCACTGGCTCTCTTCTTCTGCTGTCTACTGAATAATTTCCATCTAGCTCTATTTTTATTTAGATCCAGTTTCTATGAGATCCAATTCTTCAGAGTATTCGGATAGGAACTAAAAAGTAAACCCACAGGGAAAACATCCAGAACTCTTACATTCACTTTATTAAATGCCCCTCTCATTGAGGAATATTCTCTATCACTAAGGCAAACATCCACCTGGCTGGGTACAGCGTCTTGGGGGCCACCCCTCAACGGCTCTTTCTTATTTCCAAACCCTTACACTGGCAGACTGAACATATTATTAAGTGCAGGGCTACACACAGAGATCCTGGATTTTAAGTCAGAGGCGTTAAGATGAAATCTGGCTTCTTTCTGGTGGTCTCCAGCCATAGGCCTTTAAGAGAGCCCCCAAAAGTCTGACTCCAGCGTGTGAATGGTGGTGAAGATCGCTAGAGATACGTGTCAGGAGAGTCCCAGGCAACAGGCCACATAGCATTATGACATCACTTAAAGTGAAGTAACTCTAAGAAATTCATGGTCACGGGGAAGTGAATGCTTGACGCTGTGGAATGATACTCTTACGTGTAGCATGATACAGTGTTTGGCAAAGTTGTATTGATAAATGAAATGTAATCACTACATTTTCACGTAAAAGATCAGAAAATTACTTTAAACCAACAGCAGGCATAATTAGGCAACACCAAACATCTTAATTCAATTAAAAGAATCGGGCCGCAACACAGCATAACACAGAATTTCTGGCTGAAAAGGGAGATTAAAAGAGTCTTGGTTCCTAAGCCTAACAATGAATTGGCTGGATGAGGATCAAGATCTAATAGCTTTTTGCACATTCTCCTTCTTTTCGTTTGACCCACTGTGGATTGAGGCTTGATCGCCCCTGCTGCGTCTTTTCCACGTCCATCTGGATGAACTGCTCAATCCCAATGTACAAGCTATCATATGTGAACAATGTTCAGTACTTCAATCTGTCCTTTGCTACTTTTACTTACACTTTTGAAGTATGAGGTATCAAGAAGGCATGAAGATTTCGAAGTTGTGCTAAAATCACCATGAAACTTGACCTTTTTGCATCGTATCTGTCAAAAGAGAAGCTGATGAAACAGGGAAAGAGCACAGGCCATTTGTCCCTGCACCGAATTCTAAAACCGCCCCTCCATGTGCGCTCCCTTACCTGAGGCCGACCTGCACCTGGGCTGTCTCCACGATGGTGACATCCCCTTCGCTGTAGGGAACATCTTCAACTTCACTAGGCCTAGGGAAAGGGCGACAGGGGGTGTAGGTGAACTGTTTCCGAACAGGGTCCTGATTGTTATGGTTACTCTTTGCCACTTATTGATTCTGAATGAAAACCTGAATTAACAGCACTCCTCCAGCCCCCAGGGGGATCTGACCCCAGTGAAAACTCACTCTTTTACGTATTTCTTCATCTTTTCAAGAGGAGTCTGCCTCTGAGCCATTAAGGGACAGACTTCCTGATGCCTGACTTTCCTGAGCTTCCCTGGGGTACGCCACACCCCGAGACACATTCCAGGCTTTCAGAAATATACACGAGAAGATTCATGTGCCAAACGGGTAGTGGCCAGCAACTCCAACATTCTCATTGAGTTTTAAACCTCCAAGCATGGGATGTTTTTGGTATACTGAAATTTTCAGGCATTAGCCTACCGCCCTTCCACTGCAAAGAGTGGACTCAGGGCCGCAGTATGCTCACAGGCTGGAACCCACACACACGGCTATAGGAGGCTGGAACCCACACACACGGCTACAGGAGGAGAGACGGTGTAACCGAAAAGTGCTCCTGCCGAGTCCTTACTGTTTCACGAAAGCTTCGTAGACCCCGCTGTCTCCAGCCACAGACTCATCGGACACAGCAGCCGACACGCAGGCCGTCTTCTCCCCGAGCAGGTGGATTACTCTTCTTTTTGGTAATGACTTTTCCATATCTAGGGAGGGGAGAGTGAGCGTACTAATTAGGATTATTATTAGGAAAAGTTAAGTATAAAAATACACACGTGGTTTGGTTATGAGAAATCCCAAAGTATCTGCATCTGAGCATCGAGGATGTTACTATTGGAGTCGACAGATGTGGCCGATTGAAGGCACCAAGACGTGACAGAGGTCCCTGGGATGCCAGCTATTTTGGTCATCATTTGAGAAATACGGTTTCTCTCCGTCCTGAAATACGTGAAGGGAAGGGATAAATGACACACATTCCCATCGGTCCCTTGCTTCTCTCTGTCAGGGATTCACTGCAGTTACCATCTGCTCGGCGGCAAGGAGCAAGCTGCATCCCTCAACTATTAAAGACATCTGTATAATAGAGAGCATCTACTACCCAATGGCAAGAAAGTTTTCCGCCTCCTTTGCTCTCCCCTTCTCTGCACACACCATATTCTTAGAACATCTCCTGTGCTACCACGCTAACAGAACTTAAAGGAAAAAAAAGTCTTTGACTTACAGAATTCCTCACCAGCTAATACCATTAGGGAAAAAAAAAAAAAACAACTTTGTGCTACTGAATCTTTAGCACCAACGACCACTTAACTTTTATCTCGAACTCATATTCATACACTGCATCCTGTGGTGAGCAAGAAGCATTCATTTAAAGCTGCGTTCCTAGGTAATAAGCTGCGAGCCTGTGGAGTTCTTTTATCCTCCAGCGAGTGAGCGGGGACCAGGATTGGTATGCATTTCGCCCCCCTTCTGAGTCGTGACTTTACATCTTGTTAAGATGTTTAAGTTTTAAGGCTTCAGATTACAGGATTGATTGCTGCATTTTCCCTTTCATTTCTGGCAGTGGGAATGCTTTTTCCTTGATGATGCAGTGCCTCTCTCCGCCCACCCCCCTTTGTGAGGGGTGAAGGTGATGACATGATTTATTGATTACGCCCAGGAATATCCACGGCGGCTGAAATTGACTTTGACAATGACAGAGACTGACTGGAAGGACTTCGTAGTCATTCCAGCGCGGTCTCTGTCCTCCAGCAGGGACTGGCGCCAGAGAGCGGGATGTGCATAAAGGAAGTCAACTTTGCCTGCGGAAGATTCCAGAATGCTGAGGGAGACGAGCGGCGACACGACCCCGGGCCACCCGCCCCCCATGCGGAGGTCAGACACCCCCGAATGGATCGAGTGCTGGTATTCTGACCTGAGGAGGTTTAGTCTTTACGGTTAAATATATGCTTTTAGTTGTTTTCCCACATGGCACTCAATACTCTTTCCAAATAAAGCTCTCGGGTATCATTCCTTTAGGGTGAGTTTTTAATAGCAGCTGTCTAATACAAGATGCATTTGAAAGGTAAAAGCTCTATCCTGGAAGCTTTGGCGACACCGGGCTCTGGGCAGACTTCCCAGGCACAGCAGCAGACCCAGTGGCAAGAGCAAGGCGAGAGCCAGGCAAGGAAGCCCGCGGACCCAGGTGGGGTCGGACCCTGGGCGATTCTCACGTGGGTCTCCCCCTCATCCGGCCGCTGGCCTCACCGACCGGCCCCTCCAAACTGACTGGGCATTGACAAGGGGCTGCTAGAGAACACTCGCAATACACGAAGAATGAAAACAGCTTTGACATGTTCAAGATCCTTCGAGTCCAAAGCACAGAAGCATGGCGGAGAAAACACTCCAGTTTCTTCTCTTGCTTCTTCTTTCGTACTTTCATAAATTTCAGTGGCCCGTGGTAGGAACCAGGCTTAGCACCGTCTGTATGGATTATCCGCATACAGTAGTACCAGCGACATGAACTGAGAGCAGAGCACCAAGCACAGTTAGAGGCTGTCGCCGTGTTCCGGCATCAATCCTCCCAGTACCCTGCGAGGTAGAGACTTGGTCGTTCCCATTCTGCACGTGAGAAATACCGAGGCTGAGAGCCGGGGTAATGTGCTCGTGCTCGCTAAAACCAAGGTGAGGGTGCAGGCTTGGCTGGCTCCAGGAGCAGAGAGCATCGCTCTGCTCCACACACTGCACTCCTTCCTGGGGGCGGAAGGGAGGCCTGACCCTGGCTTCTGCTCACCTGGAGCCACTAAGTAAACACCACCCCTCTGCTCATTTTCTCTGCCGTGGATGATTTCGATGACACGTCACTTGGAGCCGTGTGGCCCCTTCCGGGCGGTGCCAAACAGACCGCGCTAATGTCTCCTGGCTCTCCAGGCTGCTGGCGGGCGGGGTGTCGGTCTTCAGGATGGGAAACCATACACACGGGACGGATTTGTCTCTCTCTCTCTAAACATCGAAACTGGCCAATCAGTTAAGACTCCGAATTTTCCGGACCAGAGACACAGAATAAGGAGGCTTCTTAAAGCGGCAGGAAAAGACCTGTGAAGAGGCCTGGCCTCTTCTGTGTGGTGGACACACGGTGACGTGCGTAGATCTGAGCGAGGCTCCTGGGGACCGGCCCTGGGGCTTTTATTTCACATTTCGTTTCAGGCTGGCTCCGAAACGGACCATCGTCCTCAGACCACAACTACGGTCCTCTGCCAGCAAGGCTACCATCTTGTGCTCTTTATACAACTACTTCTAATATGGCGAAAGCTTCCGCCTTATAAAGGCGGAAGGGATACAGATATTTAAAAAAAAAACAACAACAGAAATGAAATCCGCCCTCTGTTTGTGTCTGGGCGCACGACGGCAGCAGTGAGAGCCTGATCGTGGGCACACTTCCCCGGGTGCAGCTAGTAATGCGGCCAGAAGATGGCGGGGTGCTACTACTACATCGGACCCGGCTTTCTCCAAATTCACTCTGGGCAGAAAGGGAGTGTCTGGCGAGAAACAAAAATCGTATTTATATAGAATTCCCTGAGCAATCTAAACACTGAACCCTGGTACTAATTAGCTGGTATGCTAAAGGCCTTGGTTTTAATCTGTTTTCGGCCAACTTTTAGAAGAAACCCTCTTCTTTTGCCTTGCTATTTCAGAGCCCGAATCTATTTGGAAGTATGAAGGATGGTCATGAGACATGGCCCCAGTCGGCTGCCGCCCTCCAGAGGGTTTCTGGACGAGAGGACAGGCACTTCATGATTAAATCTAGTGAGCAGGGAAGGCGACTTTTATTGGATAAAGAAAAAAAGGTCTAGTTTCCAGGTATAGCAATAAAAACTCCTCCTCCAAGGAAGCCGAACTGAATAAGCAGCGCAGAGAGAGGGGGGGTAGGCAGCACAACCGTTCCTGTGGAGAGAACAGCCCTCCCCCCATTCTTCTTGAGATAATTAAGAGGGAGCAGGTAGAAGCAGAGGTGTCCGCTCACCTGCAGCTCCTTCATACAACGGCTCCCGGGCACATTCGTGGAGGTCTTTGTCCTCTGACAGGGACTGGCACACGCCTCCTGAATGAGAATCCAGCAAGATCTGACTCTCGCCGAGGCCGATGTCTGCAAAATGGCTACTCAATTCACAGTCTTCAAAGTCAGCAGTGAACCGATGGAGAGGGGCATCGTGAGCAGACGTGGGGAACGCGCCTTCCAGAGCCAAGGGGGAGCCGGGGGGAGACGGGGAGGAGAGGGAGGACCGGGAGGACAGGGATGCCACGGACTTGGGGGCCTCAGTCCGTGGCGGGGTGTGGCCTGGGGCTGCAGCCGCCGCCCCGCAGGGACCGCTCTGGCCGGGCTGCCTGGGGGACTTGACCACTTCATTTTCGTGGATGGTGGTGATGGGTCCAGAAGGAATGTAGCCGCCTTTCTCCTGCAGAAGGAGGTCCAGTTTGCACTGATAATCCGTGTCCACCTGGTCGCTCTGACTGGTGTAACAGAGCTCTCCGGAACTGAGGGAGCTGAGCGAGCCTCTGCTGGAAGTGTTCAGAGACCCCCGGCTGGAGGCCAGGGAGCCCAGGCTGCTCCCGGACGACATGGACAGGGTGCTGGCCGAGAGGCTGAGGGGAGAGGAGCACTCGCTGTGAAAACCGGGATGACACAGGAAACCCAAGCACGATGCCCGCCACCCCCTCCGGACCCCGGAGGGAAGGAACCCAGTGGCACCAAATAACATAATGACCGCAGAAAAAGGAACCTGCTCCTAGTATACCACCTACTGCCATGTTGACTCATGGACACTTCCACCCTGGCTCTCCACATAGCAATTCTATTCGGACTAAAGATCTATTTTATATCTAAAAATATATCAAAAACCAAAACAAAGGAAGTGATGAGTACCCATTGATAAATCTACCTGCACAGATATCCAGTAGCAAGTATGCAATTTAATAATACGGAAGGGGGAAAAACAGCATACACAGTACAGAGTATCAGTGTAGTTATTCTGGTTAAAGAATAAAGCTTTTAATTTTGAGAGAGAACAAAGGCAAGCTAATAAAGACAAAGAGGTTTCACACAGGCCCCTGTCTCCCTCAGGGTGTGTGTACTGAAGGAGTGAACACGTAGCTAACTATTTTAAGGCCAATCTTTCCTCCTCCTCCCTTTTTAAAAGAAAGGGTGATCGGTAGAAATGTGTCATATCCTAAGTATGGATTCATAGCTAAAATATATAAAGTATATCTTCTTCCCACAATATCTTCCGCCTATGACCCTGGGGTTCATGAAAAAAAAACCTTGTGACTTTAAATTTGATCATCCAAGTTTTAATTGTAACCAGCATAACTATTTTATTTACTTTTAAGCAGGTGAAAATAGAGAGAAAAGTAATCCAGGATGAACCAAAACACGCCTGAACGTAGTCAAGAAAAACTTTTCCCTCAAGAACCAAGCAGGCTTACCTTTTAAGTTGTGAATGCAAATAAGTAGTTAATTTAGTAGTTTCTTCAAGTTTCTGTAGGAGCTCTTTCCTTCGCTCTTCCAATTTCAATCTAGAAAAAAGAAAACAGAAACGAATTTATTTCTATGTAATTATAATAAAGCACAGAAACGGAAGGAAAAGATTCTTACTATATAAACATTATGTACCACGAGGGGGAAACCCAAGTGAATGGACGGGAGAGAAAACAGAACCACCAGCAAGAAGCAAAGTGGGCGGAACTGTCCACAGCCACGCCAAGCGAAGAGGAAGATCTATCCTCAATCAACATTACTGATAATTTTTAAAAATCTGGTATTCTAAAATTTTCTTAAATGGGCAAAACAAACAAACAAACAAACAAACAAAAAAACCCTTGTGCTCTCGTGAGGTAGGGAAACATAGTGAGGAGGAAAACCACAAATCACTAATACAGATTGCAGAATCCTTCTATGGGCCTGGGATTTGGGCTTAAGTTACTAAAACACTTGACAGGAGTAACAAAGAGCTGTGAAAGACCGTCCGAAGTGCTGGAATTGACGAGGACTGCTCCCAACTGACATTCAGTGACAAAAATTCCAATCTTACTTTGATGAGGATTTCAGCGATTAAGAAACAAATTAGTCCATACTGCCACTGTGAGCTCATTTGGGCTTAACGGTTTCAACAAGGAAAAGATACAAAAGTGATTTCCCTTCCTACTATACAGCACAACTCATTGCCCGCAACGATTATCGTGAAATTTCACCCACATTCAAGCGACCAAGTTTGTAAAGAAATTTTGAGTATCGGGGAACTGTGTATGTGAGTGAGTTATCTAAAAATATATCAAGCGGAACGTCTATGTCACCTGAAGGTCTTTAGACATCCCTGGAAGGAGCCCGTCCAGAGTGGTCAAGGGCCGCAGAAGGGGACCCAGAAAACCACCATGGTTTCGGGTGGATTTGCGGCTACCAACCATGTGTCCTTAAACAAGTCACTTAGCCAAGGGGTCCCAGCGTTCTCATCTGCAAATGGGCTATTAAAATCCTACTGTGTCTGTCTGCTAAGGCTGTTTAAAGGGATCAAATGGAGTGATGTATGTGAAAGTGCTCTGCAGACATCAAAACACACCTTCCTTGTTCAAAGTCTCAGCATGCCTTACAAGGTGGGGGTATAAAAATTAGTTATTTTTCTTTGGAGAAAAATAAAATTTCCCTAATTTCTAACCTCTTTGAAATGGATGTTTTAGGCGGTAAGGAAACATGCCCATATTTTATTTATAGCTATCTATCCTTTGATGTGTCACCAACACAATTTCATTATATGTTAAAATAAAAAAAGCAATTCTTGTCATTTTGTTTAGTACTTCAAAGCGTGATAAATTCTTACTTCCCAGCTTTCAAAGGTGTACTCTGAAAAGGAGTACAGTCCCTATTTTTTTTTTAATCTCTTAAATATAAACAAAAACTCAACATGGAAAAAATTAATACAATTTAGATGAACTGAATTAGAAGGCAAAGGTCTGGAGAAAGCCCCCAAATCTACCAAAATCCATGTCTTCTGAAACAGGAGAAACATTTTTGAAGGAAGTTTTAAAACTAAATACTGCACAAATGGAGGCTTTTCTGGTGTGGTAAGGAGGCTTCAGTATGACATTAGTGTGTTTCATGCTGAAATTTAAAATCCAAAGCTTTCCCCATCTCAGTCACAAGCGATGGTCCTCATTTGGGCCTCCTCCAGCAGATTGCTAAGGCCCTCTTATGGCTTCGAACTGCTGAGACCCGGCTTCGTGTTCTTGTTGGCATGCTCCCCAGTCAGATCCTAAGCTCCCGGAAGGCAATCACTAGCTCTTTCTCCCTCTTCCGCCCAGGCTGCCTGAAGAGCCCGGCGCCCCTCCCAGCGCTCCCTTGTGGCTGGTGGCCGGTGTATCTAGGTAACCCCTTCACTGGGAGAAGAATAATCAAGGCACTCAGGAGCCCTTCCAGTGGGGTGGCCTTCTTGGATCAAGCACGCCACTCCTATCTCTGATGTAATCACGGAAGGCAGAAGTCTTCCTCAGATTCCAGGTGTCCTTTGTAGGAAGCATCCTCCCCAACTTCCTCTGGACCAGGGAGTAGAAGAAATTGCTCAGGTATCAGCCCCTTCAAGAGGGTGCATCTCTGTCCTCCAAGCCCTTCTCCACAGTGAGAAAGGATCTTCTCCAGCCAGTGCCTAGAAGATTCCTCTCCTGCTGGTCCGACTGACCCACACTATCCATTCATCTGCTCTTTGCAAGACAAGGGCAGTGCCTTCACGCTGTCCTTTCTCTGCCCTTGTGCCCTGAGAGAGAGAAGCACCTGCCCAGTCTCTACTGATGAAGACCACCCAGAACTTTCCATGTAGGGAAAATGTCATGTCATCTATAGAAGTAAGAAGTTCCTTTTCCGTTAAAAAATAAATGACACTCATACCCCCACTTATTGGCTTTAAATTTTTTTCAGAATCAGAGACAGAAACATTCACATGTAACTAAGGAAAATTAAGACATCTAGGTAAGAAGTAAGACAAAACTCTCAGGATCTGTGAGAAAATATGGAGCAATGTTAAGATCTTATCAGCTACAGAAAAGCACAGAGGTTTTGGAATTTCAGTAGCTGTATGGAGAGAACATGGAAGATGTGTGAAAAGTCCCACACAAAATGACATTTTTCATTTGACAGCCAACTGTCTTTGCTGATGGTCCCCCACAGTGAGCATCTCCCTCTTCCTGGAGGGCTTTATGACCCACGGTGGGAGCTCTGTCACTGCATTTGAGCGCTTGGCCTGGTGCGGGGCGGTGCTGGCCACACACGGCCGGGGGACTCTGGGGTCATGCTCACCGGCTGAAATTCAGGTGAGCTTAGCTCCTTCTGAGACCAACTTTCAGCACTGATTCAGAATCTTGCCTGAGGCCACCCCTGAAATAATGAGAAACCTGCCATGTAAATGGAAAACGGGACAATTTGGGAGAATGCAGAAGTGGTTTCTATGGCAGTTGGGTGGGTGCCAAGAGGAAACTGAAGGATTTAGAACTGGTGAAGCGTAATTTGTTTTATGATGAAACAAAGTTTTACACAGTGAATCTTATTTCCCAGAAGTATCTCCCAACACCACCTGCTTTAGGGCTGAGGAAGCACCGTGTTTAGAGATATTCTCTTGCTTTCTAAGGCACCTTGTTTCAGTTTAACAGTAACAATAAACAGACACTACATACCTAGTACATACAACTAGGTGAGAAGAGATAATGAAGATCAAGAAAAGGTGAGAGAGTACAGGGGGGCAAGGTAAAGCCACTGAGAAGAACAACAAAACCCAGAGCCACACCATCTGTGTCTACTTGGAAAATAAAGGACTCGGCGCTCCCTCCGGCAGGCGGCTCTGCTCTTTCAGACACGCGAGATGCTGGGTTTGCATCCAAGGAGAGCAGTGAGAAAACTAAGTTGCTCAAGCAAGAGAGTATTAGTCCCCTCAACCTTGTACAACAACATAATGACAGGGATTTGGCTTCCGGCCACCAACATACGACAGATATAAAACACAATTATATACACGTCCCTTCCTGCTAACGTCCAGTTGCGGGAGACCGGGGCATGCAGGTATCGTAAGTTAGAGGGACATTCAAACTGTTTACTCCCCATCTGAGACAAACCCCATGGCTGGATCTCACTGAAGATGTAATTATTTTATATAAGTATTTTATAGCTCCTCTTCCTGGTGAGTTCAAACCTACTGTTTCTGCCGGAATTTGGACAGTTATTATATGTATTATGCACAAACCAAAGTACAAAAGCCAGAGCCTAGGCACTTAGGAACAAACTGCATTTTTAACGTTACTTCATCAGTCATTTTTGAAGCTCTAGCCCTTAAAAAAAAAAAAAAACACACAAGACATCATGCCTGTAAAAGCTGATTAAACAAACACACATCTGTTTTCTCTCTCCCAGAACAAATCTAAAGGCTGTTTCTAGGCCCTTCCCAGATTCACACACTACAGAGAACAGCTGAGACGCACTCAGTGCGTTCCACACATATGATTGCGTAACAGTAAGTGTGACACAAGGCGCAGGTGCCCTGGCTGCTTTATACGTGGGCCACACAAAAGCTACTCATTTCGTCATGTTTACTGGTGATGAGCAGCCTTTTATCCTACAAATTTAACACCTATAAACACAGACACGACATCAAAGTAATTCAGGAAAACAACGAAAGTCTGCCCTCTCTCCCTTACTTTTGGATCCTTCTGGTCTCTGTTGGGTGGGTCGCGTCCCCACCCCCAGCCCCCCCACCGCCCCGCCAGCCATGCTCACACCCGCCTTGAGGGTGAGCCTTCAGTCGGCACCACTGGACCAAGAGGTCAGGGCAGCCAGGGCAGGTGGGCGATGAGAATGCTTTCAGATGGTAAAGGAACGTAGGCTGTAGAGGCTTTTCCTCCTGACTCCTGCGCCTGCTCTGTACGGCCGCCGAGCTGTAGCTCTGCCTTCCCTTGATCACCAGTTTCAAGCTCACAAAAGTCAACTCTCCCCAGATGACTAAACTCAGGGTAGGCAAGTCCGCATGCTAACACCGAACCAGCAACGTCCGAGGCTTTCCCTCCCACCATTCCCCGCACCACACTTCAGATGCTCCGATATTATGTAGACACACAGCCTTACACATTCATGGAGGACAAGGAATTAGAAGGCAAGACGCCAAGAAGTTAAAAAAAAAAAAAAAAAGAAAGAAAGGCAATTAGATTATGGCTGGGTGTTTTAAACTTACTTCCAGTCACTTGCCATTATACGGATGTGACCTTCCTTCCTGTCATCCTGGGACAGGCACTGCACCTGGACTGCTGGCCTACAGGACGGGTGTGCAGGGGTCCCAGAGGGCTGCACGGGCTGTGGCTTGTGGCTGGGACAGGGGTGGGACCATACCTGCCAGCGAGGCCGGGACCCGAAGGCTCCCTCACACACGTCTCCTTGGCCAACGGCCACCCAGACGTTCCCCTGCTTGACCCTGCGGCTGATCTGCTTACAGAACTGGATTTTCTTGGATTAAATGACCCATTCGCACCTTCCCCCGGAAAGATCAGAAAACCGTGTCAGGTGTTTCCCTATACATTTTCACCTGCTTCGCAGGAGGGGCTCGACTGACAGACAAAATCCCAGTGAACATTTTGTGACCTGTTAAGATATCAAAGGGAGCAAGTTGTCTTTTCCTTGTGAAATGAAAAGCAATAAACTTTTGCATTCTTGTGAGTCATAAACCCCCGAGTAGGAAGCTGCCGGCGCTGTAACAGTCCAGATAATCTTTCTTATCAGAGTGCAGTAGTTTATAGCCATTGTTACCAGACTCAGTCAGCGATGGACTGCATTCCTGGTTTCATGTCCACATTCCTTACTTACTCAACATCTGTCACGGGCATTTTCGCCTTCCTAACGAACAGAAGAACTGACACCGCAGGCTATGAGGAGGGTGTGCTTTACTGCTCTACGGAAAGAAGGTCCCTTTGTGCCGGGTCTCCGTCCACCGGCAACAGATGCGACGGAGATTTCCAAAGACCTGGGGGACCTGGCCTCCAGGCACAGCTCAGACTCCCGCGCACGGTCGGACGCGTCCTTGTCCCCAGGGAGGAAAACGAACCTCTCGGCCAGGGCTCGGCTCGGCGGACCCCTCGCGGACAGCAGCTCGTCCTCCAGCCGCCGCCTCTCGCCTTCCAGGCGCTCCAGTTCGTCTCGAGTGCGTTTCTGCGGGGTGACGAACTGAAGCTCTTTCAGAAGCTCTTCCTTCTCGTGGATCAGCATCAGCTTCTCCTTCTCGATATCCAGAGCCCCAGGCCACGTCTCGCTGTCCAGTTTCGACAGTTCAATTTTTAAGTTGGCCATACTAAAAATAAAGTGGTAAGAGAGGGATGCACACACTGAGAACTCTCAAGAAAGGGAGAACATGAACCAGGCTAGGTTGGGGGCCTGGGTGCTTGCTGTCCTGACCTTACTCAGGGGTGACCCTCCCCTCCCCGGAGGCAGGGGAAGAGCAACAGCCCCGCCCTCCAGACCCTGGGCCCGACTTGACACCCGGCTCTCGTCCGCTGCCTCTTCCTCACCTTTCCAACACCAGCAAGCACACCGCCTATCTGAAAAAAGGGTGAAGGTCCAAGTACACTGAAGCTTAAAAAGCAGAGAGCTCTGGGAGCCGCGGGCGGCCGCCCCGATGTGTGACTGCCTGGGGAGGGTGACAGGAGGGATACCTGGAGAGCTTCCGTTTTATTTATTTTCAGTTTTAATTTTCTTAATAAAGATTTTATTTATTTATTTATTGAGAGAGAGAGAGAGAGAGAGAGAGAGAGAGAGAGAGCGAGCACAAGCAGGGGGAGCAGGAGAGGGAGAAGCAGACTCCCTGCTGAGCAGGGAGCCCGATGCGGGGCTCGATCCCAGGACTCCGGGATCATGACCTGAGCCGAAGGCAGACGCTTAACCAACTGAGCCGCCCAGGCGCCCCCGGAGGGCTTCCATTTTAAAAAAAAAATGAAGGTAAATGCTGTCTGACAGGACATTACTATAGATTTTGTTCCTCTGGGTAAAGATGCTGTCCCCCAGGAAAATGGTAGGCCCCAGTGTCTCATGGGCAGCAACTGGGATGTGAGCCAGTCAGGGAAGGGTGGGGGAAAAGAGAGAGCAGTGGCTCAGCCAAGCAGTATTACAACAAAGTCAATCCAGCACGTTCCACGTGGCCAAGGAAAAGGGAGCAGCCCTGCCCTCCCGGGCCTCCTCCGCCAGAATCCTCCTGCAGCTATAGCTGTGTGCTGTGCAGTCAGTGTGTACACGGTTTCTTGAGCGCTCGCTGAGCCAGCCCTGTAGATGTGACTGCATGGACCCGGGTGCCCTCCGTGCACAGGAGCCATCCAGGAGCGCCTTCCCCAGCACGGACGGGCAGCCAGCACAGTGACTGCAGGTACTGGAGCGCAGGGGGCAGGGAGGGGAAGATGGGAGGAGGAGCAGGAAAGCCCCGCAGAGAGGAACGTCACCCGCTGCATCATTCTGCCTGACCTCAGAGTCCACCATGTCGCGAGCTTCCCGCTGAATGGTCAAGTTAACTTCTGACAGAATGAGAACGTTCTGACCCCCGCCCCCCAAATCAAACGACTTGCTCCGAGGCACTGTGGGCACTATCGGGATGGTTCGCAAGGCAAATGGCACATGGCTGTTTTGACCATCAGCACCACATCAAGGCAAATTACGAACACAACTGGTGTTGGCACAGGGGATCGGTACACCTATAAAAGAAAAAAAAAAGCTGGACGATCCCTGTGGATACTGGTATAGCCCATACCAGAATATGAAAAATAGAAAGAGGACATTTTATTTTCCTTTTTAATGGAAGAAGTTGTAGGAGGGAAGAAAAAAGGTAAACAAAATAATGTTATTGGAACAAAGATGGAAGTATAACCACATTCTTGGGCCACAGTTTCTTGTTTGAGTTAAAAAAAAAAAAAATTGCCCTCCTTCACCGGCACCGTGCATACAATGTGCTTCTGATTTCTACCCAGTGTCTGCACTCATGATAGATGTAACATCAGCTATTCCTCAGCCAAAACCACAAAACCATACACAACTGTCTCAGTGTGCGAGAAAATTAATCATCAAAATGCTAACTACGCATGATATTATTAGCTTCATTAAGCACATAAAGCAAAGGCTGGAGGAGAAAACAGGTTTCAGGGAAATACAACCCCCCTCTTAGAACTGAAGAAGAGAACATTTTCAACAGATGCGCAAACCCTCGAGATTTACCTTCTCATCAGCATTGCTAGTAACTTTAAAATAAAACCCCAAATGAGAACAGGACAGCGAAGCAACCAAATGGGAAAGAACCAATATCTTAAGTTCTGATGCGACTGAATTAACAACTGAACTGGGAGCAACAACATAATGAAGGAAAGAAAGGCACCTATTACTTGTGGGATCAGGCGTCAGGTGGGTCTTGGATTTTATTTGGAAAGGGTACACCAAATCTGGGGGAGAAGATATGATGAAGGTTTCCAGGTACACTTTCTAGAAAGATGGAATAAGCTGTGAGCAGCCAGAGTAAAGCGAAAGCTCAAGCTGATCCAAGGGAAGCCAAGCTGAGCCCCCAAAGAACCCAGGGGCACAAGGCCTGGTTCTCCAAAATTAATTCTGAGTTATGGCCATTCTCCTTCAGAAAGCCAGACATAGATCCTGGGCTTTGTTTACAGTAGAACCCAGGAGCTGTGGCCGCTATTGGGTTGGTATGCTCACAGCCAGAGGGCCACAAAACCACAAAGCAGTCCTCAATCCTTATGGTGGGTAAGGCATTTGCCTGGGCTCCGAGAAGCAGCCAATAAAGTATATAAAGTGTTTTATAACCTCAAGAAATGTATACTCTACCCAGGAAAACTTATAGGTATTGAAATTAGCTGAGTGGAATGCTGTCCAGAGAAACTGACCTGCTCAAGCACACACGGTTAGTAATTTGTAGAACAAAGTTTATGGGTTGTTTTTTGTTTTCCAGTCATCAAAGAACTAAGTAATATTAGTAACAGAGGCTACAAAGAGGCAAATATGGTATTTAGGCAAATCAAATAATTGTTATGTTAAAGCCAGATAACCTCCAAGAACTTTGGCTAATTACTTTTAAATAATCCTCATCACCAGTAACAATGGATATACTTTATTTTCTATCTGATGGTCTTATGATAGCAAACTATGACATTCTAGCAGGTTCTCAGCTGAGTTTTCCATGTTCTCGAGGAGGAACATGATAAATTTCTCTGTCGCCTCCAGGGTGGTACTGCGGTTTTTTTCCCCCAATGTCTTCCTAAATAATAAATCAAAAGCATTTTTAAACTCTAAAAAGGAAAATAATGAAATCAAATAGATCAGTATGACCCTCTCCCTCAAAATGAGCAAGGTGTCCATATTATGAAAACTAGTTGAGCCTGTCTACTGGATGAGGAGGGAGAAGTCTCCTGAGCCTTCCCCAACAGAGTCACAAGGTGAGGAAAATAAAGCACAGGGTTCTAAGGGTCTAGAGGATAAACGAGGGAAATAAGAATCTTTCCTCCTTTGCCCTAAAGTCAGTTACCAGAAGAGATATCTCGGCATCTTCAAGGACCTTGGCGGGAAGTCCTCCCCGCAAAGCAAAGGAATTACACTTATTTACCTCAGAGGTCCTCGGCCTCTAAGTCCTGTACCCGAGCCACTGCATCATGATTCTTCTTTAGAGACCGATCTTCCCGCTTCTACTTGTGAGTAAGTACTGGACAAGCTCAAAGCTTCTTTCTTCCAGAAGGGAAGGGGGCAATTTCATGCCCACACTTCTCATTAATTCTCCCTGTCCTTCAGCTGTGGGCAGGGGGGAGAAGCCGAGCTGGGGCGGGGGGGGGGGGGGTCTGCAATCTTTACATCTAAAAACCTTCAAGAGTAACCTTGGTAAGAAGATGTTGGGGAGCACCCAGCAGATGTCACTATAGGAGTAAAGATTAATTCTGGGAAAGAAAATACCATTTGAGCCCACTGACCACTGAACATGGAATAGCTCCCCGCTATTACCTTCTTTTGGCTTCTTCATACTGTAGGCTCAGCCTGACCTTTTCAGCTAAATTTGATCTACTTCTCACTCCGATCTGGTAAAAAACAAAAGGGAAAGAAGTCAACTGACTCTGCTAATGAATGAAGGTAAACTGCTTTTGTTTCTAAGAAGCACAAGTAATTGGAAAACTAAAGAAGAAGGTCTTGAAATTGGGAACACCAGTTTAAAAAGGCACTTACTTTCTAGTCTCAGTAGGGGCAAAACATTTCTTTTTAATTCAAGCTTGTCTGTTTTTCAAAGACTTTAACATCATTTTCTCCACACATTAAATTCAAGATAAAAAGAATTATGTCAATGTTTCTGGAATCTTAGAGTTTACGAAGGGCGTACAGGTCAATAAAATTTATGAACTGAAACTGATTTCCTTGTCTCCATGAACCCCAATTTCCATCACTTAGCTTCTAAATGCAAAGGACATAGACTAAGTAACTTCATAAACCAATTTTTGAAACAGGTGAGTCCTACTGTCGCTCTCTACCTGTTTTACTTTCATAGCACAGAATTCAAAGAAGCAATAGGGAGTACGAAAGTACCTGGGACTGGACTAGAAGAGTATCTGCTAAACGGCGTCCCAAAGAAGAGAATGCAAAACAATTAACAGTAGTCAAACCACACTAAATATTGTCAAACGCTGGGCATAAGCCACAAATTAAATGTTTTAATATAAACAACCTTTGAGCTACAAAAAAAAAATTTTAAGGCATATTTTTTTGTTTCTCATTAGCCTCAATGTTTAATTGAAAAGGTCTGAATTTCGAAGACCTTAAATGTAATAGGAAAAACTTAAATTCTCATGCATCTCTAACCTTTCAATAACGTCTCCAAATAAATACGGTCTGAGAAAGTTTGAACAAAGCCGTCCATATGGACAGATCCTGATATGTGTGGCACCCAGACAGAAGAGATAAGGCTCTGATTTTTTAAAACCAATCTAGAAGTAGGAAATATTGAATCCACACAGCTGCAGGGCAAACCACCTCGCTCGCTCCTGTCCCACTTGCCATCCGTACTGTAGATGAGGCTCGTCGAGGACAGCACTGGGGCCAACCCTGCCACGTGGATACTTACATCTCCAGAAATGCTTGTCTGTGACCCAGCGTCAAGGGTCTGTCTGGACAGAGATAAACGGGAGTTCACAGGACTGGATCTCAAGTCTGGCTCGGATGTGCCAATGCTCTGATCCAAATGGAACCGCTCCTGCAGCTTAGCAAGACTCTGTTGAGGAAACACGAAGTCCTACATAGAGCTTAACACGTTAAGACGAAAAACTTCCCCAGCAGGTAAACTCAAACTGAAAGACACGATCGTCATAGAAAAACGACTTTAACAGGTACTTACCATTTTAAATTACTGAAAAAATAAGATTAGAATGATTTTGTACATACACAACGTGTGACTTTGGAAGTATATGAAATCATAATAAACGGGTTATCTTACCTTCCCCAAGACAGCATGGGAATTATTCACGCTGTGTATAATGGCATCTTTATATGGAATACCTGCATTTCTTGTTTTTAAAATGTCATTGAAAAGAGCTCTATTTTAAAAAGACTCATTTCAACTACTCACTTCATGCGGCAGAAATTATGGAAACATGGAATGCCTACAATGCAATCTCATTGTAGATCTAGCAAGCAAACTTCCTACTTAGCCGACTTCTATAATTATGCCACTCTACATCGGGACGGAACCAAAGGGATTATCTGCTCCCACTAACGTCAGAGATGAGGAGACTGAGGGCCAGGAGTTGCGGTCCTGGCGGCTGATCCCAAGCCTGTCCTTACGCCGACTGCGTGGCACTGCCAGAGGGATAATGTCTGGTCTTGTAAAGTGAATGGGCCTGCTGTCGGCGCCCACCCTTAATACACTGAGCTTACTTTATTTTATTCATTTTTAAAGATTTTATTTATTTATTTGACAGAGAGAGAGAGAGCACAAGCAGAGGGAGAAGCAGGCTCCCCGCTGAGCAGACAGCCCGACATGGAGGCTCAATCCCAGGACCCTGGATCATAACCGGAGCTGAAGGCAGACGCTTAACCGACTGAGCCACCCAGGTGTCCCGAACTGAGCTTACTTTAAAGAGAGGATGTGAGCAAGTGAAAGTATTAAAAAGGAGAAAGATCTTAGCTACACTGCTACCAACCCTCCCCCCTCATAAAACACTAATAAAAACGGTAAGAAACTCGTGATTACTAACTTTAAGAAAAGCCAGGATTTAATCCTGACATTTATGATTCTTAGGATAAAAAATGAGAAATGTCCCCCCAAATTAGAAATCTCAGAGATCTGATTTGTGCCTTTTACCTAACCTTCTTTATTTTCTTTCAAAGGAATATTTATGCAAAATACATGTACAAGAGGAATAAAACTCATGCGGTCACATCAAATAACAGACTACAGAAAAGAACAAAGAAACCTTTTGGTGACTTTGGGCAAGTCTTTTCTATTTTTTCATCAGTACAGAGAAAAGACTAGTATTTTTCAAATCTGTCTGTGCCGACCATGCACCTCATCAGGCTAGTAGTAGGTGACGACTAGCATGTTTTTTGACGAAAAAGAAGAGACTAGAAACTTAATTCAGACCACGTTACTAGTACTAAGAGTATTAAGAAATAAGTATTAAGAAATACGGTGTGTATGTGTCCAAACATGAAGACATTTGTGTATGACTGGGTTGTCATTAGAATGTATCTCTTACTGTGGGTCATGGTCAAAGAGGTCTGAAAGTCACAGAAACTGCCCACCTAATGTCCTTCTCAGCTCTACTGTTGATTGCCCTATCTACTAATCAACTGTTTTCTATGCTTTAGTAATTGAAAAGGAATCTAATCTTTTAATTTAATCCGGTCTGTGCATAAATCCAAATTTCTTCTTTACGGGAACAATCAAAGATAACCTAAAATTGCTGAATTATAAAGTTCCAATGTAAATTTGCTCAAGTTCTGCTAACTTTTTCCAAAGGATCTATGGTGTGCATTTGAGGAATTACTGATTTAATCATCAGGATCATGGTGGAACAAAATAAAAATACATCCAAACAAAGTTTTCTGTGTTCCACGTATATATTTTTAAAATGCCATATTCTGGAGCAAGACTACCTAGGTCTGAACCAAAGTCCTACCACTTCTGAGCTGTGTGACTTTTGAGGAAGTTACTCAATTTTTGTGTATGGCAATTTCCTGTCTGTAAGTGAGAATAGTATGTGCCCATCTCTTGGGTTGTTGTCAGAATTAAATGAACTACTTTCATGCAAGGCAGGGAGAAGATTGCCCAGCACACAGTCAATGCCTGTAAGGATTTCCTGTTAATACTATAATCTTCTCTATTTGATCGCTTCTTGCAAGTTATTTCAAAATTCCCTAAATGCAAAATTGTAAGTGTTTAAGAATATGTACCTATATTCAATTGACATTTTGAAAACTGACATGAAGTAGTTGAATATAGTATTTAAAGGTGGGGTTTCTACTAAGAATGCAAACATAGCCACTGGTTCTAACATCTTCCTCAAGACACAGACTAAATCCTTACTCAGGGTTCCAAATATCTGAAATACAAAGAATTCTCAGGTCTTGTGATAATTATGGGATGGAGGGAAAGGAGGAGGAGGAAGAGATACACTCTTCAGAAAAAAAAAGAAAACTCAATCCGACTAAACCTACTGAATATAGATATTTAAAAAGCAGGATACTGATCACTGAATGGTTGTTTGTTTTACACACAAGGCTGGATCCCTGGGAGCTAAGCAACCGGTCAGGTGTAACAAGGGGATCTTCTGCCATTAGCAACTTTCTTAGGATGACTAGATGGGTGTCCCGCAGCTGGGTCAACACTCCCCAACTCTAGATAGCACCTCAGAGTCACGTGGGGTGGGGAAAAGCTCTTCTAAGCTCCTCATATACCCTCCCCGCACTCCTCAAGGCATAGCCTCTGCTCACTGATGACACGTGACGTGCCCTTTCTGCATCCTGGGCTGAGGATCGCGGTTTAGACAACCCTGTTTATCTGGGTTCCACACGAAGTTTTAGTGAGTTGTAGGTGCACCAAAATGCTCATCTCAGATGGGCTCCAGGATCCACCACCTCCTGTCTCAAAGGCCATCCAAGGCCTGCCTTCAAATAAGCATAGCAGAACCTCGGAACCCACCTGTTTACCTCCAACGCAGCCCATGGCCTCAGTGCCTAGAACAAAGTCTGAATGAGGCAGTGGGAGAAAGGGCCATCCAGACACTGACGGAGAACTTCTGCCTCAAGGCGAGTTTCTGGGGCCCCAGCCCAACATTTTGTCTGACTTAACAAAATGTTTTGCAACATACCTGCATCAGATCTTGCTTTTCTTTTTCTCCTGAGCTAATAGCCTTTCTGATCGATTTCAGTTCAGTTAGAATGGCTTTGGCTTCACTAAGTTCATAGCCACTCTGGCCTCCAGACATTTTTTTATCTATTCTGTTAAAAGAAAAAAAAAAAAAAAGGAAAAGAGAAAAAAAGTCAAAGACTGTTGACAGAGTACAAGTTAAGCCAACAGTATAGGAACTAGTTTTCGGACTGTTGGGAGTTGGGTGATGATTCTGTTACTTGCCTTCTGATACGTACCAGTATCATCCTTTCAAGCGGATCGTTCCCCCTGCTTTCTCTTCCAACCACTTCTAGCTCACACTCTCCCATCGCCCACCTCATGCCCCGTACACTCCTCATCATTTTCAGGCTCAGTCATTTTGTCTTCAGTTGGTTTGGGCGGCCCCACCATGGGCCGAATTCAAACTTCCTCATGCTAAGCCTGACCCCCACCCTGAGAAAGGTTAAGGCCCCAGGGAAAGGATTTAGCAGGACAGAAGTGCCAATAAACTGGACAACTACAGGAAGTTCGGGATTCCTCACCGTTGCCTAATTTTACATATGCCGTAATGTCTGTGCCAAACCAAGCACGGTGCCTACGGGCTGACAGGCCTTTCTGCAATGCGAGTGATTAGTATTTACACTAGTGAGGATCCTACAATATCTGGGTCGTGTGTGGTTAGTTTCTTGTTTCTTTTCAAATATATGAAAGGTACTTGTTCTGTTTTTATGACAGGATTCGACATAAAACTGCTTGCCTTGCTGACAAGATCAAATCCAGGAATACGGCAGCAGGGTAGATGTACTCGTCTGTCAACTAACGTTGAATAAGAAGCTCTTCAAGGAGCTCATTTACCGCACCCCCCAGATCTGCTCACCAAATGTCCTTACAGTTCGCTTGGTCACCCTACGTCAGAGGATTTCAAGTAACCCAACTCTTTGCGCATGAAGGGCCCAACCAAGTTACTGCGCTCTTTTTTTTTTAAAAAAAATGGTTTAACAGTGTCCTCACTCTCACTCTCCTGATCCTCTCCAGCCACCGATGCGGCCCAGGATTCATTCTGAATACAACTTGGGGTTCCCTTGAAGGACATACAACTATGCCTCTGCCCCATCGGCCAGCGACTCTCATTCTTCGACAAAGTCTTATTAGTCTTATCCACAGAGAAATGGCACCTTTGAAACCACAGAGAACTGGCCCTGAGCTCATTTGGTTTAAAACCTTTAATGATTTATACTTATTTCAATGTGAGGGGTATAATCTGAAAACAAAACCAAAAGAGAACGCACCAACAATGCCATCCTATTCACTCTTCCAAACAAAGTTTACTCAAGCAAGTACAGTTGGCAGACAACATATTTCCCCAAGTACTCTTTTAGTAAATATTTTATTGTTGCTGAACAAAGTCTTAACCTAAGAAAATAAAAGGAATTTCATCATAAGGTTATTCGATAATAAAAGTACAACTAACGAAGTCACTGAATTAAGCAGGTGCGAGTGCACGCACACAGTGTTTAGGGCGGGAAGGGACCCTAGAGATCACACTTCCTCTAAGTGAAAAAGCAAAACGGGAAGGTTTACGCAACTTTAGCCCCTAACTTGTATAAACACTTTGTTAGTAGGGGGACAATCCTCAAAATGACAGATTCAGGCTCAGGGCACTTACGACTATTACCCTTAACAAATAGATAAAAAGCTCAGGCGGTACTTTGAATATTGGTTAATTCCATTTATTTGGGAAGGGATTTATCACTGAAATTGTTGGCTCCCTTAGGTATTATATCTACCAACCTAGTTGAGACCAAAGGCATATTTTAATTTAAAAAAAAAAATCTGTGAGATTTCATGAGACAGCTATTAACACAGGACTCTCAAACTGTGTCAAAATGAATTTCTAAAGCCCAAGTGATTTCTTCCTATTTGTGTAAAACCTTCAGAATCTAACAGTTAAATTTTTAAGTCAGACATCAACTTTAACATTAGAAAACAAAAAAAGTAGGTAAGCTGTTTTCAGAAATCAACTTTAACACTTAAAAATAAATGAAGGGGAGTAAGTCAGAGGGGGAGACGAACCATGAGAGACGATGGACTCTGAAAAACAAACTGAGGGTTCTAGAGGGGAGGGGGGTGGGGGGATGGGTTAGCCTGGTGATGGGTATTAAAGAGGGCACGTTCTGCGTGGAGCCCTGGGTGTTATGCACAATGAATCGTGGAACACTACATCAAGAACTAATGATGTAATGCATGGTGATTAACATAACAATAAAAAATTAAAAAAAAAATAAAGGCAGGACTACGTCAAGACTGCTCATTTACATTTCAGAGAACTTTAAAACTAGATAAAAATGTCCTGGCTGCCTACTGCTCTGCTGGGTGCTCAACATGACAAGGGCAAGCCAGGTCAACTCAGGGCCCACCCCCACTCCACCCCCGCCGGGGAGCCCTTCTGATCTTTCTCTCCAACTCCCTTCTGCCTTCTCTGAGCACCTCTGTTTTCCTCTACCTGTTGCTTTTCCCTTTATCTCCACGTTTCTCCTTTTCTCCTCAACTCTTCATCTCCCACCTTTTCTCTCTTTTTTTGACCCCAACTGACCATAAGATAAAGTCAAACAAAATCAAAAAAATATTAGCGTTAATTGCTGATTTTTAAAACAAAGTACTGTGTTTTTTGTTCTTAATTTGAGGAATACAATTTTATATTCTTCCCTAAAAAAACCTTTTTTTTAAAGTTTGTTTGGTTTTCTTTTGGGGGGGGTGGGGATTCTGAGTACCATATTATTAATTTCTCCTATATCTTGGTCTCTTCCGAAAGAGAAGAGATTCCCATTTGCAAGCCTTCCCTGGAGAATATGTGCCCCCGGAGCCAGATTTTCATAGGCTAGGTGTACATTTTTGGCTGGCCGAGTGTTTCACTTCTCATTTTCCACTTTTGAGTGAATGCCGAAGGTGGCAAAGTAGGAATATCTTCCTGGTGGTATCTGTCTACACATAAGCTATGCTATGGCCTAGGCCCAAGTCAACTCTGGGACCACAGACTGAAATGAATAATGCAGAGAATAAAACTATATTCATTCATCCGGCATAAACTCGTGTACTCAGTAAAACGAAAGCCTGAGTTCAAATTACATTATAGCTCCAGATTTGGCAAAAATAGTCCATTCTGTTGGGAATAAATGAAAAGTTACAAAAGCCTGCCGTGGGATTCTATTTAAATCTCTTCCTGAAATGTATTTTCCGTCAAAACCCCAAGGAAAAGTCCCTTTATAGTATCAGGAATGTGGTTTTTTGCAAAGTACGGTCTCTGGGTTCAATCATTATTCAATGTTCTAGTAGTATGGTGGTTAACATTTGAATGAAAACAGCTTTATTTTGTCTAGAGTTAGGATCAGCAAGAGAGGTCTCTGATGTTAGATATCATATCTTTCTGCTCTTGGTTCAAGGGATTAGAATCATTGCAAGAGAATGCCTGAATTTCTACAACAAATGTCTATTGTTTTCTTGTGGAATGTTATTGACAGATTCTTAAACATGCCTTGGATTCCTATAAAAATTGCTTGCAAGCAAACTGCTTTAAAACAATACAGCATTGTTGTATCAATAAAACAAAAACAGCAAGTTTGGCTAACCTTTAATCCCGGGTGGTGACATGAGTTACAATTTCATGTGCCTTAAAAATGTTTAATGTATAGCTAACCATTTTGTAGGGCTCTTCAGAGCTTGTTTTCTCTTCACTCCCACCACAAAGCCCTCCTTTATGCTGATACGCATTTACCAAGTATCACATTTATGTCATTCTCGGTCTGCTCAGTTCTTCGGGGGGGCTCTGCAGCCGGCTGAGGTTCTTAGAACACAGCCATACTTGAGAACTACCTAGGGACTGCGCAAAATATACCTAGATGGAGACCAGAAACAGGTATTTTTTTTAAAAAGCCCCTCAGATGACCGTGATATGCAGCCAGGTTTGAGAACCACTAGGAGGGGAGCATCTGAAAGAATGCAAGGGTGACGCTTACTTGAGGTGAGTGGCCAAAAGCCTGAGCCCTAAGACCCATATCTGAAATCAGCCGTATGACTGACGGTCAGGAGTCATGACTGGTATCCTGAGCCGTAACTCATCATGCGAACACACAGAACAACCAGCTTATGTTTTGTCTGGCCAACAAACACACAGCATCTTTAAAAGGGGTAGTGCCTTGCTGCCTTGGATTGCTACAGAGGGAGACCAGGGTCGGGGGGGGCGCGGAGGGGGGTGAAGAACGTGCAGGCCATCAGGGACTCTCTATAAACACCGCACCACGGTTGGCACAGAGCCCCGCACACAGAGGAGGGAAGTAAAAAAAAAAAAAAAAAAAAGCAGTTGAATGCCTTTTGAGGGATAATGCCTTCAATCCTCTCTGTGGTCATGTGGCTGTGAAAACCATCAGCCTCTTGCCTCACACCAGAGACCGGGTGGTAGGGATCGTTAGGGCTGGAAAGCCCGGTGTGCCTGTCAGGGTTTAGCCGGGCAGGACCTTGTCAGCTGGGAGAACGGTGGCTTCCGGGGACTGGGAACGGAGCAGGAGATTCCAGAATCCGCTACCCTCTGCCGTCTACATCTCCCTTGGCCTGGTCCAGTCTAGAGTCAGGCCAGTAGCCCATCAGACTTGACTACAGAATGGAAAGGACAGAAGAAAGGCAGGAAATGAGGAACCCACTCAAGCTTCTCTGCTGACCACCCGACTCGCTCCCTGAGCTCAGCCCCAGTTAGGTGGGGCCTGGGGCTGACAAAGGGGCAGAGAGACATCTCCAACCCAGGGCTCCGGGCAGGAGAGGCTCACATCGTCCAGACGTGAAAGCCGCACGTGGAGGCGCTCCTGCGACTATTCCCTTAGCACGAACCTCAATCTTAGAGCAGGCTGGCAGGTGCCCAGACAAAGTGAAGGTTCTCAATGGTTTCTCTGACTCGCCAATGGTTCATAAAGCTTTAGCCCTTTTCAAAGGAGATAGATTTTCCCAAGTTTTTTGTTTGTTGGTTGATTGTTTGGTTTTTGGTGCAGAGCTCTGAGCCATTTTTACTTTATGTTTCTTTGAGAAATCTCTTAGGCAATCTGTACTTCTATTTTCTTTGTATGAGTTAGGGGGCTTTGAATTAGTCCCAATTTCAGTATTTTATACTCACTGTTGCAATGTTTCAAAGCCTTGTTCTTTATACAGCAATTCTTGCTTCATCTGTGAGAGCTCTCTCTTCAGCTTTTTAACCTTTTGTGAGCAATGTAAATAAGAATGTTTGTAAATAATTAGCAACACTATTTTAAGAGATCGTCCATCAGTAAACTATTAAACACACAGACATAACCATTAGTTTAACATTTACTCTGCTGGCTTCCCCCTGACATAAATTCTGTGGAAGGCAGGTTAATTATGTTTAAATTATCAGTGACATTCATTATCCCCTATATTTACCCTCATCATCATATTTAGCAACATTCCTGCGAGCTGCTGTCCTGACTATCTCCATTTTGTGACAAACAGCCAGGAAGGGGGGAGTCAGACCTTGAAATCCCGGTTTCTGTTTCTGTTCTGCGCGTGCTCCTCCTCCCTACTTTGCTGCGCTCCGGGACGGCCAGCCACCTCTCTGTTTCTCGAATGTATCGGGCAATACCCGCTCTGCTTCTGCAACATGCTGTTCCCCCTGGCTGGAAGGCTTTCCCTCAGATCTTCCAGAGCGGACTCCTGTCACTCAGGTCTCCGCTTACACGTCACCTTTTGGGATAGGAGTTCCCCAACCATCCCAACCCATGCCATTAGTTTTACTTAGTGCATGGTACTTCTCAAGAGCTGAAACATTCTGTGTATTTGTTTACTGTCTGCCCCCCCATGGGAAAGTAAGCTGCCATCACACCAGCTGCACCCCAAACTTCTAGAAGACTACCGGGCACTATGAGGAATAAAAATGACAAGGGCAAGCACTGTGTGATCAATAAACATCCGGTGTCTATCTGATTAAAAAAATGTTTTTTTTTTCCTGTTGCCAAATACAGTCTTGGTGATGACAATGCTAAAATGTGATAGGTCAAAAAACCAGCAGAAGTCTGGTTTAGTCACAAACTAAAGGTCTTCACGTGGGTGTCAGAAATTTACTTCCATATTACAGCCTTAAGTTTGACGCACATTCTGTTAGACAGTATTTCAAGGTGCTTTTGAGCGTTTATTTCCTATTTAGTCTATCCATTCCACAAATATTTATTGACTTTCCACTATGTGTCTGTCAGGTCCTGAGTCTCAAGTGTGAATAAAGTTAGACAAGATCTTTGCCCTCACGGGTCCTCCGGAACAATGGGGGAGCCAGATGTTGAGCAAATAATCATCCAATGAAATAAATCTTACCAGTTACCATGGGGAATGTAAAGGAAAGGTTCGGGATACTTCAGGATGAAAAAGGGGAACAGGACCTGATTTAGTGTGCGAAGCTGGGTAAAGCCTGTCTATGGAAATGATGTTTAAGCAGAGCTGGTCAGTGGGGCTTCATCTGGTAACGGGGGTCCTCAAAAGGCAGAGCTTGTGCACAAACCCTAAACCACGAGAGGAGGAAACTCGTCAAATCTCTGGGATTTAGGGAGCCTGGTTGGTTAAGCATCTGCCTTCGGCTCAGGTCATGATCCCAGAGTCCTGGGATCGAGTCCCGCATCAGGCTCCCTGCTCGGCGGGGAGCCTGCTTCTCCCTCTGCCTCTGCCACCCACTCGTGCACACCCTCTCTCTCTCTTTAATAAATAAAGTCTTTAAAAAAAATCTCTGGGATTTAGAGTACGCTACCATTTGCTGGATTACAGAGGTGGCGTCCATCATGAGATCCAACTGGAAGAGAAGGCCTTAACAGTTTTGAAGCCACATGGAAGATTTCTAAATCTTAAGAACAAGGAGAACTGGGGAGGAATTTTAAAGCATGATCTGCTTTATGATTTTTAAAAGACACCGTCATGACTCTGGTGATTGGACCAGAGGAGCCAAAAGGGGCCATTCCACCTGCACCGTGGGTTGGCCTGGGGGCAGTATATACAGAATGGAGCCCAGAGGAAGAATATATTTGGGAGGCAGAATCAACAGGACTTGGTGATGGGCTCAAGGCGCAGGGTGAGGGAGAAGATGTGTCAAAGATTACTGCCAGGATTTTGGCTTGCCAGGTGGGGGCACGAAGGTGCCTCCCTGGAGGGTGGGGCCAGATTTGGGAATAAGATCAAGGGTGTTCTTTGAGACGTTTAATTTTCTGATACTCAGGAAACTTCAAAGGCCATTGGAATCTGGAGGCTTGATGTTCAAAAGTGTCTGGGCCAGAGATATAAAATTGAGAGTCACTGACATCAAGACAGTACTTTAAATGCATGAGAATAAATGAGATCACCTAGAAAGAGTGTGTACTGAAAACAGAAGAGAGTCTAGGAACACGCCTTAGGCACCTTCATCATTCAGAAATCTAGAGGAAGGGGCAAAACACGCTGCAAAGTAGCAGCAAGAGAAGTCGGAGGGAAAACAGGGCATCTTGGAAAATGAGAAAAAAAAATCAAGAGGGAGAGTAGGCACTACGCAGAATAAAGTGACAAGGACAGGGACGCCTGGGTGGCTCAGTCGGTTGAGCGACTGCCTTCGGCTCAGGTCATGATCCCAGGGTCCTGGGATCGAGTCCCGCATCGGGCTCCTTGCTCAGCGGAGAGCCTGCTTCTCCCTCTGCCCTTCCCCCTGCTTGTGCTCTCTCCCTCTCTCTCTCTCAAATAAAAAAAAATCATTTAAAAAAAAGTGACAAGGACAAGAGCTGTGTGATATTCATGTTTGCACACCTAAGGCACAACACTTTGGGTACTATGGATATTCAATCATTTATCTGTTGATAAATATCTGTTGAGTTTATCTGAACATTTAAGTTTGTGCCCCAAGGCACTTATATTTGATGAGGGAAAAGTAAACCCAAATAACGATGGTGCAAGGCCCACTTTCTAAGTACAAAGACAAGTACAAGCGATGCTACTGGAATCCAAAGGCGGACAGGAGCACGTCCGCCTGGCCTCACGGAGAAGCCATCTGAGCTGGATTGTGGAAGTACTTTAATATTCACGAAGAGAGTGAGATTGTTTGCAGTGGATCATAAAGACATCTCAGTTGTAGCATTCGATTATTATCAGGTCAAAAGAGCCATCAGTAATCAATAGTTCATTCCACCCGTACTTCTACTTCTGACAGTACCTCTAAAGAGCTGTTTACCAAAGACTGTAACATATTTATTTCAGAACAACAACCACAGTTAATCCAAAAATCAACAGCAACTCAAACAGCTGGCCTGAAGCCTGTCTTTACCTCTGAAAACACAGTGGATAGAAACAATGGCGATACTGAACTCACTCAGAACCACCAAATTAAAACAACGAGCATATCCCACTGACATAAAACAGCATTCTACATAAAAATCATTTGGACACACCAATTTAATTTTTTTTCAAAACTTATCATTTAAAATCTAAAATTAACTTTGGAACTTCCAGATTCTTGTCTGTTTAAGTGATGGGAGTGAGATTTTATTGTCCATTGAGTGACAAAGATGGAAGAAGCTACCCTGTGCTTGCTTTCATTCCACATTATTTATTTTACCTAACGCTCGCTGTAAGCTACTGTTTCCATCTTGGGGAGTCTTCGTAGTGGATTACCTGAATGATCTTTAGCTCCAAGTATCAATGTTGCATTTTACGTTGTTAACTATGAAAACGTCTGATTTCTATCATAATGACAAGTGAAAACAGGTATTATTTCCAATCAAACATCATTTCCAATTGTATTTGGTTTCAAGGATATGGTCTGAACTAGTTCAACAACCTTTCTTCTCAGAGAACCACGTGACATCATTAACTATTAGAGGATCACTGTTTCTCCTTTTCCATTCCCCATCCCACCCTCATCAAATGTAGGACACAGAAAATAAAAATCAATGTCCTTAGATCATAGCTAAAGGATTATGCTAATGCTGACTTGCAAATTTAGCACAATATAGACTCTACCAGGAAGCAATAATGACAGCTAAAATGTATTCCCGGCATTGTGCTAAATATAAATGCCTATTTTCAATCCTCACAGCTATTCTACAGATAGTTTTACTTCTTATTATATAGGTGAGGAATCTCAAACCAAAAAAGAATAAGTAATGTGCTGAAGCTTACACTGCTACCAAGCAGTGGGGAATAATCCAGAGCCCAGGAGAAGGTTTTTAAAACTATAATCATAAATGTTTTAGTTATTAGTGGCACGATAGTACAAACATGTAAGATCAAAGACAAACTAGGATTTTGGAAAATGACCCAAATAAAATCTATGGTCCTTATTTTACCTTAGAAACTTCATTATTCTTATAGCCCACCCAAACTGAAAACATGAAGAGTCCCACAAGCTCTGGAGACCACGCTTTCTGTCTCTTACATACTCAACTTTCTGCCATAGCCAAACATCTAATTTTATAGACTTACTTCTAAGCAATCAAATCTCACAACCCAGAGTATCAAACTGGAAGGAAGAGATCCATGGCTTTCGCACGTTTCGTGCTTTCTATACTGAGTACACCAAAGCAAGTGACATTTTAAATTGATTTTAAAGTTATTTCTGAAAACCAGGAAGATGCTGTGATTAAATGTGATGAGTATGACTGGAAATCACGGAGCTTCTCCCGATTTCTGACAATCCTGGCGTAATAAGTTTTATTTTAAAAGAAGGAGAAAGAAGATGACAGTAAGAGAAAAGTAAATTCCAGAAATCTGTGGACCTTGGAAGGATCACAAGACAGGCAGGTTTCAGAAGTTTGCCCTAAAAAGTGAACCCTGCAACATTAAAGCTATAATGAACAAAATGGCATTTTACTAATGACTACCTTCCCCTTTCTCTCACCACTTTCTCTACCATCTTGCCGAGAGCTCCTTCGGCAAGCCAACAAAGGGCAACTGTCAGCTTGCTCCTTCTAGGGATCTTTCTCTTCACCACCACTTCCAATTCCCTGAAAATCCTTCACCACCCTGCCTCACCTCAAAAGTCACCTTCAAAGAAAATGAGAAATCAGCTCCAGATAGAGAAGGGATCAATAATAAAACATTTTTTGACTTTACTGAAGAATAGAGGAAAACAGAACCCCGCATGCTGTTGGAACCATTTGTGATGACTAATAAATGGATTCTGTCATCAGAAACAAGATGACTGAATACAATGTATATATATTTTTAAAAAACTCAAA